GGACTGGTAGTCCACCCGCTTTCAGAAGTTCCGCTGTGATTCCATCATACCCCGGCGCCTTGTTGTTCTTGAGCTGTTTGAGAGCCACACTAATCTCGTATAGACTGACGTCCGGGATGTCTTCGGTATAATGTCGGGTTAATTTGGCTCTAGGGTCTGTAGCCTCAATGACAGGTTTCTGTGATGTTGTGTATAACTGTCCATAGAAGCGTTCGATCTCCGCCACAAGCTCAGGACGGGATGTAACGACTCTGCCGTCCTCTGTCTTTAGCTTCGTCAGCAAGCTTTGTCCGAGAGACAGATCTCTAGCGAACACTTTGGAGCCTTTATTCCGCTCAATCGCCTCCTTAATACATTGAGTATTAAATTGGCGTATGTCGCGTGTGAGAGACTTCGAGATCTGTCTATTGAGTTGCCGACGAGCATCCTCAGAAGATTGCAGAACCATTTCACGCCTTTCTTCCATTAGCTTGCTTGTCTGCTCCGAGATCTTGCTTCTTTTTTGAGTACGGCGAGGTTTGAGGAATTTTGAACCCACCGTAAGGACAGCTTCTACGACCCTGTCATTGTATTCGTCCACATCCGAGCAGCTCTCCAGGCAATCGAAGCGGTTTTGAAGTTCGAGCTGAAAGTGTTCGGGGTCCCGGATCTGGGTGGCTTCAGGACGGAGCGTAGACTTCACCAGTCGATACCGTTCAGCTTTTACATTTAGATTCAATGCGCCTCTTACCATACGGTGATCGCTTCCCGTATTAAACGAATTGATCACTGAGACGTCATTGAATATCCGAGTCTTAGTCGACATGATGAAGTCGATCTCGCTTTTTGTCACACCATCCGGACTCTTCCAGGTCCACTTTCGATGCAACCGTTTTTTGAAGAAGGAGTTCATCATATAGAGTCCTTCCCTCTCCATGTAGTCGGCTAGCATTTGACCACGGTGATTCCGGATCCCAGATCCAAAATGCCCCACCTTCAACTCCTCATCGCCACGCTTGCCTAGCCTTGCGTTGAAGTCTCCCATGACAACAGTGTAGTGGGTCGTGGAACCATGTATTGCCCGGGAAATGTCCTCATACATGGCTTCCACTTCCTCGTCGGGGTGCGTCGAGGTCGGGGCGTAAACCTGTATGACCTTCAGCGAATACCGTTCGGTGATTCTGAGTATAAGGTACGCCACCCTATTCGATACACTTCCGATCTGTACAATATTGTTCACGAGAGACTTGTGGACGATAAACCCGACGCCACCTTGGGACAGATCTTCGCCCTCCCGGAAATAGAGCAGGTTACCGGATTTAAGGATCATCGTGTCCTCGCCCTCTCTTCGGACTTCGGATAATCCTACAATACTCCAACGAATCCTGCCCAATTCCTTCTCTAGTTCCAGCAGCTTCTCCTCGGTCCGCAGTGTGCGTGCGTTGTAGGTTGCCAGGGCCAAGGTCGTTTGACGGGGGATCTTTGCCGCCCGGGGATTCTTCGCACCCCTGGTGCCTTCGCCGAGTTGGCGTCCGTCCGCGCCAGCACGGCTTACGGCACCGCCGGGCACTCGGGGCCTTTCGTTTGGTTCAATTTTTATCTCTGAGGGGTTTTGGGCCGTCTCCCACCACGCTGGCCCAATGCGGGTTGGTGGGGAGCGCCAGAGCCTCGTTGGTTAGTCGGCAGGGTGTACCGCGTGCAGGTGAGGTTGGCTTGGGATCCGTTAGATGTTGTTCGGACCCCCTTACACCTTAAGCATACATAATATTATATTGAATAACGCATTCGGTCTGCAATGCGAATGCATATTGGCATTGCAAAGGCCGGTATTAAGATGGGTGATCAAAACTTAATCAGTTTAAGTTCGTCCTTTTTCCGAAAGACATCTTAATCCGTTGGTGCCAACTATATCTGTAAGTGTTAAAGCCTACCAAACCGCACTGGACCTGTGTGATGGGTTATGACTCGTTTTTTCTATGCGATTCCATCCACAGAGAACCCAGCCCAGCCAAGTCACGGAGAAAATACTCGTTTCGTGGCTCCAGCAGTGTGCATCAATAGGCTGACAATGATGATGAAGATAATACATACTATTAAAACCTACAAGAACAAGGAGATATTTTCTTTAGTTCGAATGATAGATCCAAACTATAACAAGTCAAAGTATATCATTAATTGGCATTGGCCTTTATTTTTATAGAATAGGGCGTTTAATATTCATCGAACACGGCAAAAAATAAGACATCAGAGAAAATATTATTGCCGTAGTAACCGGTTTCATATGTTCTAAACAAAAACACATCGCATCATAAGACAGTTATTAGGTAACTCGATGTGATATGACCAATGGTAAGGTCGGGGAAGCTACGCCGGTCGCGCGGTCAAAGTCGACGCGCCTCGGTGTCGCGGAATGCGGCTGCTCCGACGCCCAAACATGGTCCGTGCAGAGATATAAAACCGTCGACGACTACTGCCCCCTATGTTGGCGAGACGAATCCACTACGCAAAGACTAGAATGGACCACCCGCGGTCCTATCATAAAAAGCAAACTATATAAAAAGGGTAAACATGGTTGGGAAAATAACAAAATAAACTGATTGTAAACAAGTCCTTATTCTTATTCGTAAGGTGAAGATGTTATCCACAATTAGATAAATAAAAACATTTACTAGCGTATGGCTATATTTCAGAGAAAGCCTGGTTCCTGAGATGTAACGTCAGATAAAGTAAAGATAATCACCAACAGTGCTATTAATAAACAAGGTCAGAGCAAATTTCCCTAAAATTGCAATTTTAGTGTTAGTTCAAATTAATATAATACAGAGACTAAGCAAACATATTTACTACTTTTTAGGAATAAATAATACTCACGTAGAACCTCGAACTAAGCTAACCTTTGCTAAGTCTCTGTTTAATAATATGCATTTTGACTAATACTAAGTGCTGTCTCAGCGTAAATTTACTGTAACGCTAAACCTTGTGTATTAATAATACGGAATTTCAAATCTGCAGTGTTAATCGGTAAGTTTTTATAAACCTAGAACTCGACTTCGAGGACAGCGCTGTCACATCATAGAGGTGCAATCAAATAAAACCTACATCAATAAGTAATAAAACTTTTATTTCAATGAATTTCTCTACTGTGACAGCGCTAGGCTCGACGTCGAGTTCGAGGCTGTTTTTACTACCGGAAGCCATAGCAACAATCGAAAATCCTGTCGTCGGGTGAGAACAGGATCGTTCCGGGATGGACTATCAGTCGGTATACAGAAATGTTTTGATAAATAAAAAACAATAGATGGTTTCCAAAAATTGAGCCAACGTGTAACCAAAGATGGTGCGGTATGAGTAGGCAGAACAGAACGATCGACCATGACACGATGGATGATATGGCATTGTTCGCGGCCGGAAGGGCACCAGAATCGGTGAAAAATATTAAATAAGGATAAAAATAACGGCCGAAGAAGCAATAACAACTAGTTCAATAGGTAATCATCTTACAACACCAATTTCATTCTTTAATCTAGAAAGTGATGAAATCATTAATTGATCGAAATTTAATCGCAAAAGTAACAATTAAATCTGATGTTTCGTCAAGAAATACCTAAAACAGCTAATCGAGAAAGAATGTATAATACCTATCGTTCGGTTTAAGTTTAATCATTGGTGACGTCTCCCCACGACTATGACAACGGCCTTATAAAGACATCATGCGAATAAATAAAATTCTCAAATTACGTCAGTAAATGTGTACATTTCCAGTAGCTTAGAATCTTTAAGAAAGCAAACATCTTTAAATTATTTGTTAACAGTTGGTAATATAAAGTCATACATAAATTTATATTTACAATCTTCGGTTATTGGCCGCATGGAATCAGGGCACGTTATTGATTATAAAATATATAATCCAAGTTTTTCTCGATCGAATGTCATGCCAATCGACCTAGCAATAGTTTGGTCGTGAAAGCGTAATAGACTAAATTAATTTAGAACTTGAAATATTGCAATGAAGTACACAAACTAATTTTAACGGAAACATATCCTGATTAAAATCATGCACTAAACATTGCGCTTTAAGAAGTCAAAGCGCCGAAGATCCGGGTCGGTGAATAAACAAAAGCCGCTTAGTTTTTATCAAAGAGAGAGAGAGAAAAAAATAACAAGTTTGATGATAAGGAAAAATAATGCATGGCAATAAAGATCCCGATCGGTTGTCGGTCGACCTTCCGAGGACGTGTAGTGTCGATGACTCGATCCGGCTGCTCTTGCGCAACTCATAAACAACGGGCTTCTCGTGATCCGAAGACGATACTAACAGATTTAAGTTGGCCAATTAATACAACTTGGTTATGTGTAAGCCTCTCGATACTCAGAAAAACTAAACCTGAATTTTCAGTAGCGAATTTTATCATGAAGCCTCTCGAGTAAATACAAAGAATTAGTTTACCTCAGAATGGTATAAGATTTGCATAAATATAAATAATAATTGCTATAATATAATGCAATGAAAATTCTATGAATTTCAGGCATTACAGGTGTTGAAAATTGGATACAGCATAAATAAGATAAAATCACAATAAATGAATGCTAAATTTTATATATTATTGATAAAACTCAGTAATGAATAGATCAATCACGAAAATAAATAATAAAAAGAAAACAAATCTAGCTGCTAGAATAGATAATGTTTCTGTAATACCAAGTTTGAAATCGTAACTAATCCGCTTGCAGCTGGGACCGCTACCAAATCGCACGTTATCATTACTAATAGGTACTTCACGCATAAATCTTTATGCATAATTCAACCGCAACCGGGCAAACGGGCCGTTACCTGACATCCGTGATGTCCATCAGGGATATCCCATCATTTCTATCTCGATGGTTAACATTAGAGTAATGTTTGATCGGGCGCATCGTGCGTCACGTATATGTACAAGAGGCGGCGCGGTAGTGTGCGTGAGCGAACGAGCTGTGTGCGTGGGCGGCGTGCACGCGCTTAGCCGCGGTATTTACACGCGCGCCCCCTACCACTGCCGCCACTCATGCGCCGCGCGACCTGCCGACCACACGTGCACCCCACTACCGAAGATCAACCCGGGAATCAAACATTGCACCGACGAACGCAACAGAAGACGCTTCCCATTACCATTATGTGCCAGTGATCGAACACCAGTGATTTTTGTAAGCAAAACTTAAGTGAAGTGACTTTATCGGCACGTGTAATGTGCAATTGAAGGGTGACGACAGGAGTGTATAAAGCCGCAGCCTCAACCGTTTCATATAAAATGTAAGATATATTTTTTAACAAATTCTAGCTTAGAATTTAGATGAAAACCATGTGTGATGTATGACGATTGAGTGTATCCAGCCAGGTACACGACCTAGATCTCACGGGCTCACGTCGCCGGCGAACCAACAATACGCTCGACTCCAGAAACAATACAGCAATCGCGACACAATATTAGAGTCAAAGTTTCACAGAGTCAGGCCTTCGACGTAAAATTCAATGACGCGCGGAGAAACACCTGTGTGAACATTACAATACGCTAAACGAAGTTTCAGCATCTTACCTTGGCATTATAGAAATTCAATCCTCGTTTATTAACAAAGAAAAAACCTATAACTGACGTAAAAATATAAGATACAAAATTTAATAAAAACAAATCATATTAATGGTTACATTATTAGCCATTAACAATTTATAACGTATAATAGCCGGCAATACCTACTACCTTTTACTTCCTATAAAATGACCACCTATCAAGCAAGAAAATTATTATTGTTCGCCTTTCTACCCATAAAACAGAAACAATAGCATTGATATCAAAATATATTACGCTGTAGCCTTATGTAACGACAAATCGATCTTAAATATAGTGCACCACGAAGGAAATATAGAAACCCATGTTGATAGGGTATCATTAATAGAAAAATTACGACTAATTAAACTAAAACAATGGTTCCTGACACCTGATTTCGCTCTGAAGATCATAATGACACTATAGTAAACTAAATATTAACAATAAAGACCGTTTAGTATGACTTTACATGTAAAATAACCAACCATTGTAGCTACGTAACCATAGGCGTATGTTTGATTTTAATATTGAGCCACTATGAAATTTACACCCGTTTATTATAACTCCGCTTATAACGTCAAAACACTTTTAGTGGCGGATTTCCACACACACTTGTCCGGTTATAACGACGAGTGTAGACCTGATTGCAAACAAATTGAAGTGCACCCCTGCGCATGCGACTGTTTATTTTACGACAATTTGCCGTACCAACATTGCTAAGCGAAAAGTTTCTCTATTGAAGAAAATAGTTACATTACAACGTCGTATGTTACGATTGCGAAAGAATTTGGTGAAAAACCATTCGACAATACTGCATGTTCCATATATTTCTTTTCATTGTTAAGTGAATGCACATGCGAAATAAATAACTATTTATATTTCAATGTTTCTTTATGTCTGCTGGTCACCCTGATATGTATTCAAAAATAAAAATTTATTGTTCCTATAATACGACCTCCTGTTAGTTCGACATAATATCACCGAATCCTAGATCGTCTTTATAACCGGATTGTATTGTATATTCAAATGACTGAATGTTACCATGCTACCTTAATCATGAAAAATAACACGATTTGCATTTGTACACAAACGGCGCACCATAGTTAAAAAGATATTAAATATTAAGATGGCATATAATTTTTCCCCTATTTCACCAAGTAGGTTATCGTCACCGCAGCTTTCACTGTAATGGTTTTCCTAATAAACGTGACTACTGGTAGGACTTAATTACCTATTGGGTATAAGAGTGAGGTGAACAAACCGCAACCGGCACACAAGGAATAGGAAACGAAATATCCTCCCGTTATTGGTAAAGACACGGCAGTTACATCATGTGAGATTAGTAAATTGGCCTCTTCCGATAGCGTATGTATTAAAATAAAAGCTAATGGGATACGAGATGCCTCTCAACATATGAAATGAAATGATATAACCGCATGCACGTGCCCGAGTTGACGGACGTACGTAACATTTCCTGGTGTGCATACGACATTATGCACGAAAAAAAACATTTTTTTACTTGTATTTCTCAATTTAAAACACGTACGGAATAAAAACAAGTGTTTATTACTCGTGAGAACAAACTATATAATTAAGAAAAACACGGATGTTGGAAATTAACTATTGAAAAAGCGTGAGTAAAATCGTTTTAAAAAAATTGTACCTACCAATAGCTATTGTATCGAAAACATGAGAGATGAAAATAATAATATTAATTATAGCACCAGTTTTTTTTTTCACCAGAAACTAAACTTAATCATTAGCATATTAAAAATATGAGATATATATCATGATTAAGATTTTAAAGATAATACTCGATAAAGTGAATGGAACGAGAGTTGAAAAAATAACTAATGTTTTTTGTTATTATACAAGACATTTAATAGACTAATGAAGCGTAAAAACTTCTAGATTTTTTGCCGTTAATAAAAAAAATGCAATGTCAGAATATATTGGGAAATATTAGCGAATTCAATATAACGAATGCGTGTAAACATTATAGACCATGATAGTTAATGTACTGACAGCTATCAAAGATCAAGGCTCAAAACAACAATGAACAAGATATCGAAAAGAAATCAATGTAACCACAATCGAATTTAAGTGTATTTCTGATGACACACTGCCGTATTTCGATTGAAAGCGGTTCACCTTTTGTGACCCAGTCATATTTTCAATGTCCAGCAGATACATAAGCATTGACGTGAATCACAAGAATTTGTGTACACAAAACCGAATTTAAATCTTATGCTCGCGAAATTCAATGAATGTCCCGTACAAAAATAATTCTATGATATCACAACGACCTCGTGATAAAATCAAAAATGACATACGACCACTAGTCTACAATTAGGTATGTTGATATTATACCACTGTGAACTGTTTAAAAACATTCGCTCCACATTTATCTTAGAAATCAAGATAATTTACATACGATGATAATATAAACACGCCATTACGTCATCGCGCACACGTCCATCAACAAAAAAAAACCGTATCCGGCTACGAGACTGACAAGTGTTTATTATCAAAAAAGCAGCAATAAAATCTAAACTACTACTGTTAGACGAAACTACTAAGCATTGTCTATAGAATAATATATAATGACATTCTTGTTTTTCGCTTGTGTAGCAATAAGACTAGTGCGTTAGTCAGCTCTAACAATGGTGTGTCGGCGATTAGTCGCACTCGCATCGTCAACTTGAGAATAACCGTGACCAATGACAACGCTATTATTACCACCCTTCGTCGCAAAACAACGAATATTGTTTCACCTTGAATAATAATCGCTAGCAGCAATAATCGGATATCTAAAAGGCTAAAACGATTGCTCAAAAAAAAGTTACTAAACGCTCTATAAAAATGTGCAGCTTTTCCTCGCACGACGCCAAGCGAAGGACTCGGGCGCAATCTAAGGTTGCCTATTATCCGCCACGCTCCAAAAAATATCAAAAGGTAACACCAGAACAGCGGAAAAATTTTGAAACTCGTTGCACAAGACACACTCATATTAAACAATACAGAACTAACTAATAGCGACGATTATCTATCTTAAATCAGCTAATTGATGTTTACTTCATCGCAACGGAGAGCGATACGCCCATAGCACGGGCGATCGGATCTGAAAGCTTTGAAGCTAGTGCATTACTTACTTGCTATTGTAGCAGAAAAAAATTACATACCTGAAACAAAAAGTTTTCTTTTTAATTGGACACATCTCAGTTCGTTAATAAAAAACATATACGTGTATGCACATATACGTACAGTTCAAAATGTTAACAAGCGGCACGCACCTACTTTCCAAGAATGTCACGTGAAAAGTAAAACTTTTGTGATGGCGTAATAGCAATTACTGACAGTTGACATGGGAAACTTCGGATATTACACGGAAGATTATGCAGTCACAATAACACCGGGTAGGACCACTCTGTGAAATGACGAAACAAAGAAACAAGAAAGTTGTGAACTAACAAAGAAACGAAAGCGCGGTCACAACAAAAGTGTATCATCGCGAAGCTCTACTCGAGCAACATCAAAGTGTTTGGAATTATTAAAACAATCTATGTCAGAAATATAAAAAATACTCTTCATGGTATATACTTCCTTAATCTCTAGTGCCATTAGATTAAAAGATATTCCAAAATGACAAATAAAAGCATAATACCATAGTTTGGGTATTAGGTACTAGAAATAAATTTGAACTAGTCGACATCAGCACGCGGAAATCTTTAATATTTAATTGGCATGAAGGTTATCAGTTTCAAGGGTGAGATTTTATTGTATTCATAAAAATACGACGTCTTTATTATACCCAAAACGAGAAATAATACCATCGAATAAATACATGTATCGGTTACGCTTCGACAAGAAATGCTTACTCAATGAGATCACCTTGAATGCTTTAAAAACATGTACCTAGTTATAAATCATGGGCCCGCCAACAATAGGCCATATGACAGTACACGCAGTGGAAATAGTTTGAAATATTTCACGACGATATGGCCCCGAGACTGCGGCGGCGCGTGCTCACACCACGACCGCACCAAGTCACGACTAGGAATCCGATCGATTTTTTATATAGCGACCTTACAATCATTGAATAAAGAAAATTAAACTTGCCGCTATATCATAATGATGACATGTTACGATATCAGAACATAAGTATACCTACCTATGATTTTGTTTAAAATTGGGCAATATTCCTCCATTTGACAATAATGAAACAAAGCTTTACATTACAGTAACAATCATATACCTATTTCAAATCTCATAATTCAAATTAGAGCTAACAAAATGCAGACGTTATAAAATAATGAATTCCCACATTAAAATGCAAGGTCGATGGAGTAGCACTGTATTGTAAACGACACAGAATTAACATAGCACTAAGATACACTACATATCGGTGATATAATCATCAGATGACCCTTTAGACCTTAAACAGGTTGCAAGATGGGCTCGCCTTGGCCGCGAGCGGTTGCAGTGCACCAAACCATGACACTATTAGCATTTCTGAGATTCTAAAGCGGAATTCCAGCTTTAATGCTAGTTGACTTGACATTCATAGCAATAGTTGGAACATCTAAGTTGTCTCACCATATCCAGTTTATTATCATGTGTTTATATTATTATAGTATAATGTGTTAAATGAAATTAGATCTTTATCAAGTTAACAAATTATTTAAAATCAAACATCAAAGCAACTCATTTCAGAAACTTTGTAATAAAAACTACCATTAATAACGTATTGCGAAATGTAGCGTACTATTTATAAAAAAAAAATAATAAAGCTAAAATAAAAACTAGATTAAGGATCATTAATTATATTATAAACAAAAGAACGGCAAATGCTGTGCAGTCAGATAATATGACAGCAAAGTAATGAGGTCGTAGATCACTTACAACGGCACGCGCCAAAGATGAGCTTGCCGTATCATTAGGGCTGTCTCTAACAAATCATATATACATCTTCCAATTACAGTTAACAATACTAAACAACCAAATTGGCTAATTATAAATAACGAGGTCTTAACATATTCTCGTAAAAATGGCCGACCGACTTTGCAAGATTTTTATCATATGACGATGATAATAAACTATAATAAGTAAGTCACGATTCAACCCTAATAACGATAACGATGCGTGCGCGCATACTCGATTACCATTTATTCTGGTTACTCGCTGCGGTCTTAAACTGTATTAATCTAATAGAAATGTTGCATGATAGTGGCACGCGCTTGTTGTGCTATGATAAATCCCAATTACAATTTTAATATACCCATACGACTTATAAGGAACGCTAGCATAATGGTATAATTTGTAACGCTTGGGGGTACCAATGCCACAGTTGGCGATTCGTAACAGTTGCGAAAGCCAACAAACAAGGCGACAAGCTGTCGATACGGTTTGTTTATAATTACACACATGCTCTTATGCACATTGTGAATAGAGGTAATATTCGTATGTGCATCTGTTATTCTTTATTGATTGTCGATTGAACTCATTCTTGGGAGTTGCGCAAATGTCGTTCATGTGGCATAGTCGACAAGAGCACGCCATTTGCGGCAACAAACGTCGCGTTGCTACAGGTTAGGTATCTACGTGCTTTGTAACTACGCCTAGTAACTCATAATAAATGTGCACAGGTAGATTTCCGTCGTGCGGTCGGCTCAAGGAGATCAATGCATGCAATTAAACCGTGCAGCATATATATTTTGTTGAACTTAACTATAGACTAGCGTAAATTAAATGTTCGTGTGACAAATTTTCTATGGACAAGATTTCGTCATTAATTACGAGTTATACGACAAACATAAAACTTAAGCAGTTAGTAAAATGCAAATTGTTACTGAAGTTGTCTTTTATGTTAACGGGCTTATTAGAATAACAGGAAACGCACTTAAACTCTTGTCATTTAAAGCGTACAACTAAGTGAAACGTCGCAATATCCTAGTGGTTGAATTCGCCGGACAAACGCATTGGAAAGTTGCAATCGCAAACTGAATACAAATCGACCGACAATACATCAACTGTCAGATTTCCCAATCAGTGAAATCAGAACATAAAGAAAGCTTACGACAGTCTGCGACAAGATTGGAATCGAACAAAATGCACAGAAATGATAGTAAAACAATGAGGAAAGATCATCCGATGTAATATAACAGTTATAGGCACAATTACATTTTGTAAGGATACGACAGAATAATGACTTTCAAATTTGCAAGCACTTATAGTCTGTTGGAATAACACTATGAAACTTCATACGAAAAGCACTAGTCGTGGGTCGTAAAAAATCGTATAAAATCTTCTATCGTAATTACATGAAGCTTAAACATTAAGGAATATTTTTAATAATCAGCGAGGGAATGCCACTAAGCAAGGCTGACCATCATTGTTGCACCGGCAGGCCGAGTGACAGCAGTCCCGACTGCTGCTTTGTTAATCAACTCACGTTCTGTGTTGACCGCAAAAAAAAATCGGGCACCTCGCTTGCAAGGCCAATCGCTCTTGTCTTAGTTTCAATCGCAAACGCCGTGTAATTACAGTGAAAAAAAAAGACAATACGACTTCAAACCGTAGCTACAGCGAACTTCAATAACAATCGCGACACAATTTTTACGAAGGCTAACTAGTCAACGAAAGGATGCGCCGAGCAAAATGTCAAACTTAAAGGTTCAATACAATTGCAACGCTACAAAACTGCAAGAAACCTGAGTAATATATTGTTAGGTTAATACACTAAACGCTTAACACTCGACTTATGTTATGCAATCGTTGCAAAATAAAACGACTACGCTTGTATCCAACACAAACAATTATTCGTTTAATCAAGGTCGCTCGTCATGAGTCACGTGTCAAATGTGATACTTCCGTTTAAACCAAAATATCACTTGCGAGAAATACGCTGAACTAAGTCATTGCGTAACAATTAATTTTAAGACGAATAGGTCGCGTGTTTTTTTATATTATTTTAGCAGCTTCTACAAATTAATTAAACTTGTACCTGCTGCCGCTGCAGTAAGTTGTACACGATTACAAAGCGGGTTAAGTCGGCCGTTTATCGAGAGCGAAATCGAGCTAGTTAAGTGACCGCGCCTTTCCAAAGCCCTGGCACACCCACCGGACACTGCCATTGCCTTCACTATTGCCCTAACCGCTTCAGTAGCCTTTGTACTGACAATCACTAGACACAATTCAGAGTCGCTCTCATTATCTTCATTTATTATTGTATTTTCATACAACGACGTTTGTCACATCCCACGCAAGTTACAACATAAAAAGTAGACAAATTCATTGTACATTAGAAGATGCGATTAGACATAGTAAACAAGCGTTGTAATCAAAACGCAATTTCGTGGTTTCATGTTGCAGAATAAATTGCAAAGCTCGTACCTAATATGATAATATTAAAGCATTTACTTTGTCAATATCTTCTAATATAACTTTAGAAGAGATTCGAGATATATAATTACATTTTATAACTTTATTTGTTACACGTTGACAAATCTATTGAGAGTAAACATCAATCGCGTTTATCCAGAAGTGGAAATAATAATGTCGATTAAGAGATTAAATCTAAAATTAGCATGACACCTCAATTTTTTTAGTATTTAGGCTTCGCGGCCTTCCTGTGTTGGCATTATTCGCCATTCAATTTCCAATTAAACGGTTGATTCTCAATGCCAGCTGATCGGAGGTGGTCGCTGTGACTTGATAAAAGGCAAGCAGCGGCTCGCGCGCCGCCAGTGCCCGTACTACGGTCGTTGCTTTTGTCTCCAACGGACCTTTCACTTAGCCCGCTCATGACCGCCTTAAGAGCGCGTTCGAATAACAAAGAGAGTCCAACTTAGATAAGTTCACCGAGTGATAACGATAACGTGTATGTGCGTGTGATTTGACATATCGACTAATAAGTGATGTTTTTCAAACTTTCAGATGGTGAGAGGGGCGGCGCTAGCGCTGCTGGCGCTGACGGTGTGCTGCGTGCGCGCCAGCGTGCTTGTGCCCACCTACGTGTTGCCGCCCGACTCGTTCGTGCGCGATCAACGCAGTCTCGGCCCACCCCCAGATACTGACACCGCGGAGTCTACGAGGACGATTAAACGACTCATCGGCGGGCACATGAAAATAAAACCCGACAAAGAGTACAGTTCGATAAAAAACTCGATCGATTTCGAAGATAAGCCGTCGAGCGGAAAATTCGCAGGCGTGATTGCGCCGGACCAGTCGGGCGGCACCGTAGGATGGAACCAAGGCATTTGGGACGATGGCATGCTTATGTCGAGCGCGGGCGAAGGGAAAGAGGCCGTTAAAACCAAAGAGGATGACGAAGACAAAAAAACGCTCTCCGACCAGGTGGCGGAAGGAAAATACGGCTTAATACAGAACGAAATATTTTCCAAAACACCTAAGCGCCCGGGAATAGTTAGCTATGAACCTAATTCAGAAACGAGACAGAAAGATAATTTACAAACTCTCGGAGGTTTGAAGAAAGATGAAATATGGCTCGCGGAAGACCATTTATTAGTTTTGAAAGGAGGATCCTTCCCGGAGCGCACGAAAGAGAGCGAACGTAAACCGTGGCCGCCGATTGACGACTACCAGGCGCCCAGAAGGCAAGTAAAATTACCGCAAAAACCTAAAGTGCCACCGCCCTTTCCAGTACGTCTCACCGACGACGGACCGCTCGTCTTCCTCACACCAAACGGTAGTGTCCCTGCGGCCCTTTTCCCACCCTTCCCAGCGGGAGAAGGCGAAAGCCCTCTATATCCTCCGCCATTCGCCTTCCCGCCGGGACCGTCCTATGCCACGGGTGACTATCCGGGAAACTCTTCTGCCGGGGGAGCGCCGTTGCCAATTCCTCCGTTCCCATTCCTACCCGGGAATGCGAGCGAAGGACCGTTTACTTTCCCTGCATCCATGAACGGCTCTTTTCCAGAAGGCTTTCCTCCGGGCGCAGCATTTCTACCACCACCAAGCAACCAGACCGATTTGTACGACGAAGACGACCCTTCGATTTACTATCCGCCGCCTTACAATTTTTCTTACCACGCGGACTACAATAACAGCGTGCCAGCGGGACCATTGGTACCTGGAATAATACTGCCTCCGCCTCCAGATTTCTTTGCTCCAGTAGAAGAGAAGACAGAAATTAGTAAAACTAGTACATCGAAACCGACGACACTTCCCACGTATACGAGGCATAAACCGACTGTTAAAACTTCAACAATGTCTGTGCATCGCAATAAATATAAAACAAGACCAACTACAACACCAGATCCTACGAGAACAACAGAAACACCAACAACAATTACTACACCTCCGTCTGTTGAGATCGTCACTTATGAAACACCTAAGATCCGGAAACCACAAAGAATTCCTTCACGAGTTCCTATACGAGCGCAAAATTTACCCGATGAAATTACAACACGACCAAAAACAGAAAAACCCGTCTACAAAACAAGAACAAAAGTCACATCAAAACCATTATCGGTTTCTGTTATTTATGATTATCCAGAGGAAAAGGGTACCAAAGAGCCAACTACAACTGAGTACCCTTACATCATATATAATTTACCAGAAAAAACACCGAATGTATTAATTGATGAACCAGTAACGTCGACTCCGGTGCCACTGAGAGCTTATTATTCTAATACCCAAAATAATATACCAACTACTAAATTACAGCCAGTGTATAATCGCAAACCGAATGAAAATGCTTTGGCCTCTTTTTACTTTTATGACGAACAACCTAAAACTTCACCATCACCTGCCACTTACTTCGATGGACGAAACTATTACAAAACTGTGGCTTCCAATCCACCTCAGTACCAGCAGCAAAATGTTCAACAGCAATCAGGGTTCGCACCATCAGTAGACGTTGCTTACGGAGCAATTGACCAAACTGATGCGTTATTCTTGTGGCCACAGAAACAAGGTCCGCGGACGCTTACACAGGAATATTTCAGTATACAGAAACCAAGACCACAACCTGCGTACGTGCAACAGAACAAGCAACGGCCAGAAACATTCTACCAACAAATAGCTGATATTCAACAAACGATAGACTTCTTTACAACAAAAAGGCCTAAATCTCATTCCCATAGACAACATGGTCACAAACCCAAGGCGATCACTTCGCGACCTGTTTATCAATTCAGCTACCAATCCCAATCGCAACCGGAACAATTTCGAGCGCCAAAACTGGATCCTGAACCCTTCCGGCCCATGGTGAGCTACAGCAAACCTTTTAACTTACAGAATGAATTTAATGCAATCACACCTTCCGTGGGACCTGGTTATCATCAGCAATATTTGATTGAAAACGTACAAGTAACTACTGAAACACCAACATCGACCAGATTTTATCCTAAGACAAAAACGCAAGAGGAAGACTACGTCACTGCACCCGCCAACAAAGATACACGACCAAAAGGGAACAGAAACCATATTCCAATACAGAATGATAAACCAGCAGTACAACATGTGACAAGATACCCCAGTACTACAGCTAATCCTATAAGCCACGGCTACTACACGAAACAAGACGAAAGATACCTCGATGACATCACAAGAAATTCATTCGACGTGTTCGGGAAGAAGATAGAAGATAACACCCATGATGTGAACGGTTTGGCTGTGACAGCACCTATAGAAACTGTTAAGACACCGATAGATAACGATCTTAATTTGAGGTACGCTTATGACATCATCGATCAGCAGGGCAACCCACCATCCCTAGACAGAGATACCTTAGTAAATGAACGGTTTCCGAGGCCGACCATAAACCCCGACAGTGAACCTATACAGCCTAACAACGCCGAGTTAGTGGATCAGAAGCCACCGTCGTTACTGCATGACACCTTAGTCAACCAGCGGTTCCCGAGGCCGCCGATCAACCCGGACAGCGAGTTCATTCCCATTCCGAATCCGAATCCTCAGCAGTACAGAATACAATCACAAGAGCAGAGGGCTCATTACACCGGGGAGCAGTACGATCTAAACGGGCCATCGTTAGGGAGTGATACGGCCGTGAATTATGCGCGACCTTTGCCGCCCGTGAATCCCGATGCAGAGTGGATAACGCCTGTGAACTCAGCGGGCGAAGGAAGGCCGGGGTCGTTCGTGTCATATCGATTGCCAGGAGAAGGCGCACACGTGTACTTCCTGACACCTCAAGCAGCGCAAGCGGCACAAGCAGCCCGCGAGAGGTACCGCTCGCCCGGATACGGACGGTGAATCCAAAGCTCTAGTCTCCTCAGGAAACGGCGCGCAAGTGACGCGACGTGACAAGTGTAAATATAAAGCGCAAATGTGATGTTTTAAGTGTCCTAAGTAGTGTAAGATACGAAAGACTAGCGGCGCCGACCGCATTGCCATAATATTAAATAAAAACGAAAGTTTTTTTGTTTGTGTAGTTATACTCGAATTTGTTGACATGTATAAAGGACGCTACAGTGTCGACGACTTATTTATTAAATTATTTTTAAGATATCGTGGTGCATGCCTAATAATTAGTTAATTTATTTGTCAGTATTCTCATTGAACTCTAGGGAATGATGTGATATATCGTGAGTGTGGCAATGATTGTGAGTATGTATTGTTATGATAATGGCGACGGGTAAACGTTGCCGTAGTTGTTATTTAAACAAACTAATTGATGTGATTTTTTTTTTGTATTTTATAAAAATGAAAAAATGTAAAATAAACTTTTTAATACTTGAAGACTTTTTTCATTTATCTATACCAAAGCGTATCTGTAGCTATGAGAATAAGTTTTGGTTATTGTCAGCGACGTTGATGAAAAATTACTTTGAAGTAATTTTGTCCGCGGCCTGGTTCATTACCCCAGTTGCGTAAGGCCAGTGGACAAACAGTAGTAATAAATGTCACGGCCCTCTTGAAATGTGGTGACAATATACAAAGAGTTTGTTCACATTTTATCGCTAAGGAAATGCAATGAGCTACAATTTACGAAAACAATTCAACTGTATAGTCTTGACAATACGACCATCTGAATCCTCAAAAACGAAAACAGTATTAGAATTATATGTCACTGTTATCATTTTATTCATTAATATAGTTTAAATTTGAATAATATTATAAAACGCTTACCTAACTATTTATAAAGGCAATAAACTCAAAGACCAATAAATCAAAAGAAGTAAATCAATCAAGACGTTATATTCAAATGTTCCATATCATTTTGACATAATGTTCAAATTTGAATAAACTATATCATAAATAACTAGCTTTGGCATTATATAAACATAATAAGATTAAATAACGCTCTTACGTAATCGATTACCTGAACACAAGTATTGAGGAGTTAGTACAAGAATTGCACCAGTTTTTAGTCAGGTTAATGTAGACCTTAAAAGGGAACAGATAGAGTGAGTAATTGAGTTCGATTCAATATTATTTAGGTCGATAGTATCGAGATTCGAGAATTTATCAGTATTTTTTGTTTATATGCGTACAGAAAGACAAACCCCCTATTTACATAGTTATATAAAGTTATTCACTTAACTATCTTATGGATTTTCTTTCTATATATTTTTTTATTCTAACAAATTGTTCTTACTTCTAAGAAGTTCTAATAATAATAACCATATTTATAACCAAAAACAACAATACAAAAAGTAGGTACCTACAGAAGCATATCTGAGGACCTGTTTCGACTCATAGGTCTCACGTTGAGAGTTTGTTTCTACAAAGGGAAGCGAAGACCAAGCTCTCGCTTCGACGTGTCAACGTGAAAAAAAAACAACTTTTTCATCTGATGACCTTATTCCGTTTTATTACGCGGAAGTTCTGTCAACATTAACGTACATAATAATAAAAGAGACAAGACTCGAAACGGCTACTAGCTATTACACATGTTATTGCAATTATAAAGTAATATATGTGCGTTTCGTAGAGTTAAAAATAAGCATAGAGACAATCAGAAAAAAAAGTCGCCGCAATATGTATTCCTCTTCCATACCTCTCGATTAGCCGTCATCTCAATATTAAATTATATATTATTATATAACCTATGGACAGTACATATAAATTTTGAGAGTGCACTTACAAAAGAGACTTATAAAAACTTATCTATGTAATAGAATCATAAGAACATTGGGCTTTAACCCAACGCGTAGACCAAGTGCGAATTGTTAGGTATTAAAGACTGAATGAGTAACCGAAATCAACAACTTCACAGATCGGGATAACAAATTGTTGATCACTTATTCCATGGTCAGCCTTTACGAGAGTTGCGTAATCTCCGCATCGCGCTAAATCTCAACATACGCTGTTTGAATCTCAACATACGCTGTTTAATCTCAACATACGCTGTTTAAACACATACGATCGTATTTTGTCCGTCCATTTTACCGTCCAAAAATCCGATCCATAACAAATACAGATATAATAAAAGGAGATTGGCGAAATTCCTTCGGACTTTGGGCCTAACCGTTACACTGATAAATTAATGTATGCTTATGTAGATCAAAACATATAAATTCCTCTAATATTATAATTATTATATAGATCCGTGGTGTGTGCGCAAATTATTCACACCAGCAGTCATCGTCTGTCTCCATGAAACGCCAATGTAATAAGAAAAAACCATAAATATCACAAAAATTCAACACTAACGAATAGGAAATCTCTTACCTAGCACAAAATAACATAAATGCTTGTTAAAATAATAAAATCGAATTAATTAGAAGGATTTTTTGTACCAAAACGGTTCCAGCTCAGTTGGAACCTATTTTTTGACAAATTAATAAATTTTTATTTGTTATGATTCGACCCTATAAAAATTAAGGTGTATAAGAACATACAGTCGTTTTCTTAAAATTTATTGTTGATTAATTAAGACATAGGTTTTTTTACCCGACTGCGGAGGGTAGTGTTTATACATATAATTATTATCATTCGATGAATAGACTTTGCTCCGTAGTGGGCGTCTTACCGGCTGTTGTGATGAGTTAAATAGCGTGATTTGTAACGAATTCATAGTTTAATTTAAAAAGATTCTGGTTTTAACGAGAAAATAAGTATTGATTGAAAAAAAATGCCTCGCAACGTAACGAGTAATATAGTCTTCGTAACGAGTGCTGAAGAACTCACAGCAGCCTATCTCACAGCAGCCTATCAAATTGATCTCATTGAATCAGTATTTTCACATTAGGAAACATTGAATCTGCTTGTATCCTAATGTGAAAATACTGATTTCTGTTGTATGTTCGGAATATATGAACCGTTTCAACTTATAAAATTTATTTATTTAGCTTATAAAAACGTAGCAAAAATATACTACGAAAATTTACTATAATACATATGGTATTAAATAAGTTACATAAAACGTTAAAACTTTCATTATAACAGCAACAAACATAAACGCAGAAAATAGCAAAGATTGCCCAGGCGCCTGTACGTTTTTAGCTACCATAGCACCGTATGACGTCACTTAATGCCTTAAATTTGTATGAAACGTTTTGGACCGAATAACAGCCGTTCCACAAACACTGCACCTTAACACCAAATCTATTAATCGCAGACATGGTATTACTTCTATGTTATTTCTTAGATATTAATGGACTGTTTATTTATAAAATAAAAAAGTTGTCAGAAAAATTGACAGTAAATGACAGTTAGGATTATTATATTAAACTTGATTAATGATTAAAATATATTATTAGAAAAGAAATTTGATATTTTTATGTCAACATTTCCTATTATAACGAATAAGATTTATAAAGCAACTCAAATATGTTAAATATTCCATAAATATATTGTGAGTTCCATGGTTCTGTCTGTATCATTTACTTAGAACATCCTAAAACAAAAAAGGTTGTAAGTGATTTCGCATTTGCCAATCACATATCATAACAAACATGTTTTTGTGAAATAAATCTTTATTTTACTGTGAAAGTCATAGCATAAGATACCAATGCTTAACAATAAGACTTCGAACTGTCCCATGATCGATAATTTTTTATACAATAAGTAATTCTACTGATTAGTTTAGTAAAACTTTCTGGCCAATATAACCCATAATTAAATACGTACATAATTTGATAAATGATTAAGATATATTTTAATAATAATTAAACATTATAGCAATTAAAAAATATAATGATAAAGAATACGTTATAGTGCATTTCACATAGCGGTGACGTTTGTTAACAAATCCATTTCACGCAATTTGTATTTTCAAATTATTAAAAACGTCCATATATCAAAGCTTAAGAACCAATGGAACCAATGGTTAAGAAATAATGGTCTTGGTTCTTAAGTGTCGATATATTTTGACTGTTTATATCTAGGGTATTTATTTGAATTTACATATTAAACACAAATATTATTTTTATTTTCCATAATTTCTGATACCTTTAGAACATCAATGAAAATTGAACTTGAAATGAAAATTGAAACTTTTTTTTTAATAAGTATTAAATCAATAAAACGTTATAATATATATATTTGGTTGGGGAATAGGTCTTTACGCATATATTATGCATTAACTTGTATTAAAAATCTTTTGGGCTATACCATTTGCATGTTTAAAGTTTAAATTTTAAAGAAGATAACTCCGAATTCAAATTGGGAAAATGTGTCAAAATTATTTGTTTTTGTTACTGTCCTAAATGAGTGAACCGAATGAAGAAACTCGATACATTTTAAAATTATGTTACAAAAAAAGGTGCAACGCAAGTCGCGATATAAATTTGTGACATGAAACTAGTGCAGTTACTGTGAGCGTAGCACAAATTTGGTTTAAGCGTTATCAGTCCGGAAATTTTGATGTCAAAGATGCATATCGCTCCGGTCGCCCTGTTACGGATAAAATGGGTGCCATTTTTGAAAAAGTGGAGCAAGATCGGTATTTCAGTAGTTACGACGTAGCTAAAGAACTGGGGGTCAACCCCATTTGAAAAAAGCTAGGTACACAAAAAAATAGATATTTGGGTACCTCACGAGCTCACTAAAAGAAACCTGATGAACCGTGTACTCATTTAACTTATTGTAATCATTTTGTATTCATCGTGGGTTAACTCCCAACAAGGTGATGCTTGTGTGTATGGTGGAGTTGGAAGTGCATAATTTATTCAGGTCAAGTAGGACCCTCGATTCTGAACTCTACTGCGAACAACAGATCAAGATAAGCGGCCAAAATTAATCAATAGAATGGGTGTGGTTTTTCATCATGATAACACGTCTTCACACCTCACATATGTTTTGCGAATCAGCAAAAATTAAGTTTGGCTGGGAGGTGTTAATGCATACGCCGTATAATCCTGACCTTGAACCATCAGATTTCCAGCTCGTTGATCAGAAAGCCAAAAATTTCTATAGCAATGGGATCATGTCCCTATTTACAAGATGGCAAAATCTACATGCTTTAGTTAAATGTAAATAAACTATATTAAAGAATGTTTTGAATTTTCATATAGATTGCGAAGAAACTTTTTCTCAGACCTCTCTCACAGATTATGTCTTCATTTGATTAGTAATCATTTGACAAAATTTCGTTTATTGTTGTTGTAACAACTAAATTAAAATAAAAAGCTTAAGTTACTTTAGTGTTTTAATTATCGTTTTAGTAATAGCTCATTCTATAATTTACTAATAAACAGCAACACTACAAGTATAGCTAATTTTGACAGTTCGTGTCAGATTTTCAAATGGTGTGCGAAGAGTTTAAGAGTGATTGATAGGTCTGTTTTATTTTGGTTTTATTACTGAAAATTCATTTGAATCATGCCGAATGTTGTGCGAAGTGCGGCAAAGGAAGTTATACTTTCAATTTTATCATACAGTGAACAAAGAAAACGAAACAAGAAGTCAATAATTCCTTTTGATGATGCGATGGCTCATACGGCGGCCATGACAGGTATTGCCATTATAAACTTAATTATTTTCCTCATGGTTAGGGTATAAATGATCATTTACATTTCTGTATCTAAAAGACAGTTCACCAACAGTACGTGCTAAGAAATCATCTAAGCCAATTAAAATGGTTGCTCCAGGCAAACATAGAAAACGCAAATTGTCTGTTTCTAATCTAGATGATTTCGACCAATGCGTTATTCGACGTAAGGTCCAAGAATATTATTGAAATAATAATGTGCCTACATTAAGGATACTGCATAGTCATTTAAAAGTGGAAATTAATTTCAAATGGAGTGTGGAGTCGTTTAGGAAGATTTTATGGAAGTTGGGCTTTAAATATAAAAATATTCAATCGTAAAAGGAAGGTTTTTCTGGGGCGGAATGCTATCCAGGCCACAGTCTGGAGAGCAAAACTTTCAAGGGAAATGGAGGAACAGAAAAAGTTATAATCCTCGTTGTTGGCAGTCAGAGAAATGTGTGCTTACGGAGGTATCTGAAGGTCAGAGGTGGATTATTGTGAATGCTGGTGGTGAAAATGGCTTTGTACCAAATGCCGTTAAATCGATCCATTTGATGAAATTTTAAAGAAAATTGCCTAAAGGTGAAAATACTCATTATATTTTCACAATCAAGATGCAATTTATATACATATTTGTTTGTGATAAGACTACCATATCATTGCGAATTCAACGCAATAGGATTTATATGGAGTTAATTTACTTTTTTGCAGATACCAAGGCTTCTTGCTTTTCAAACGTTATGGAACAAAGAATCCGAAATGCCTTCTCAAAGTTACCATTGAAGAATGGAAACTTTTGCCGTCATGTGAAGAATGTAGAGGATAGTTCTAGTGTTTATCATCATCTTAGTGTTCTATACATAGTATAAAAAAGTCGCTTCTCGCTGTCTGTACACTAAGACCTTTTAGACTATACAACTGGATTTAAATGCGATTTTCATCAATATACATATGTATCTAAATAATAAGATTGACATACATTAAATATTGAGTAACATGTGATTGACATTTTTATTTTTATTAATTTGATTGACATTATGGCGAATAATAATATAATTTAATTAATCAATTGTTTGATAATGATACTTTTATGATGTGATTTTATAATCAATATATTTACATGCTATTATTGATGGCTAAATGGGCTGGACTCATTTATATTGTATTTCCACCTACGATGTACCTCATTAAAAGGCAAATAAATTTTATTATTATTAAATATCGTATAAATAAATCTGCAAAGCCATTTTCTTTATAAAATGAACCTTGTGATAATAGAAATAAGAATGAAATTGAACATACCTGTATCGGGCTCGGCAGTCTGCGGCGCGTCCTGCAACGGTTGCGTGTACAGTCGCAAGTAAACCTGGATCGCCACGCGCGCGCATCTGGTACCAACACATCAAACGTCTATACTATAAAAAAATAGCGATAGGAATAACTACTGCAATTATCTGGGATTTAACATCAGGATGTCATTTAACACTGTTTTCGAGAGCAATAGCACTCGCCAATGTTGTGTTTGTGACATGTCTGGTAAAGGTACAGTCGCCGCCATCATCATCAAGCAATTTTAATCAGACTATCATATCAAAGTGATGCTATAGTTTGAGATCGTGCTAGCACTCTGGGTAAAGGCTGAAAATCAGCGCTTTGCTCCTTGAGCAAAGGAATCGTTGAGCTTTTACCCTTTTGCATTGTTGTGGCGCACACGTTAAAGCGGATTTTTTTTATTGTATTTTTTTTTTTATTGTAATAGTATTTTATAATGCATGTGTGCTATTTTAATAATGCAAATAAATGAATTATCTATCTATCTATCCATCATCGTCATCAGCCCTTTTACGTCCCTTCAAAAACTCGGGCCTATCTTAAGGATAGTTGTGGAGGATGGGCAACGACCCTCCACACTGGCCCAATGTGTATTGGAGGGTATTAACGACTGAAGCCGGGGCCAGCGGCTTAATGTGCCTTCCAGAGCACGGGGTAGCTCGAAATAATATTATTTTGGTCACCATCCCGTGACCGACCCTAGCGCAAGATGTTTAATAAAAAAGATAGCAGGCCGCGGCGTTTATTCATTACTTTACCGGGTTTCTCATCGTCACCGCCATGTAAATAAGTAAACCCAACATGCGGAAGTTTTATATCGTTATTAATATTAACCACCCTATTTAAAGGGAGTTTCTTTTATACGTTCACTTTTTAGATAAGGGTTATTTATTCTTCTAACTTTTTGAAGCCAATCGTACTATATTTCCTACAATTCTTGCTCAGGGATTACTTTCGTACCGGGTATTTTGTCTAAACTAATATTGTAAAAAAGCAAAGCTTTTCACTTCGTACGTTTGTAGGGGAAATACTGACCCGATCATGAAATTTCATTCACAAACGGTAAAGTATATTATACGTGGGTACGATATAGGTTATAATTTAAAAGAGTAGAGCCGCGGGAAAAATACCTAACGATACGTATTTTTTTTTTACCTTATTCCAATTTGAATCTACAACAAATACATACCTGAAGTAGAAAGGATGAGATCTTAGCACGTCTTCAAGCCTCAGCAGACCGACGTACGATCGTAACGTCATCTTGCGCATACAGTACGAGTGAAAGTCGAACTGGTCCTCCATTATCTCGGAGAAATGCTGTAATAACCAAAATAAGCATATTTCAAATTTATTTTGGTACAAAACACAAAAGCTTACTCAGTCCATCAAGAAACGAATAAATGGAAATCAAAAAATAATTAATAGAATCGGGGCATCTTAGAGATGAGAACAAATAAAAGACAACCTAAGCAATATGTGTATGCTTCGATCTTAAGTAACTATAGCCCTTGAAATGTGGAAATCAGAAACAATGAATGAGCGCTCCTAAATAAACCAAATATATAGTTCATTCTTTCTATTATCTGCCCTCAGAAAATAAATCTGATTTTGATTACATCAGACTAAGCTTATATGTTTCAGTTAGTATCAGAAAATGTTTTATTTTTTTGAGATACCACTTCTTGATTTATGATAAAAAAAAGGGAATTAATTAGGGACTTCCGAGATTGAATCACGGACATTGATTACGATTACTCACTCTGTCGACCTCATGCGCCTTCTTTAGGGCTTCGCCCCACTGTTGCAAACGCTGATAGGCCGCCGCCGCCTCCGTTTGGAACCACATACACTGCATCTCGTTCAGATTCTCAGTCGCCGGCACTCCTGAAACAGATTATCAAAGTTATGTCTTGGGCCAGGGATTTACCGTAGACAAACTAGCCCAAGCCCGACAGTGTTTGAATTATAAAGCCATAAATTGCCATGTTCCAGCTCCATCATAAGACCCTCAATATTATCTCAGACCAATGGCCTGATATAGATAAATTAACCCAAATACACCTAAGCAAGCTGTTGCCTTCCTACACGACTGTCGCCATCCGTATAGAAACAAGGTAGCAAAAAAAGATCGACATAATATGCCTCACATATGGACAAAGGTAACATAATTTTTTATGAATTCCCGTATTTATACTAGTATAGTAGCATAAACATGTATGTATTTAAACGCATCTCGGTCAGTGCTACAGCAGTGAAAAGTAACAAGTGGTACCTTGGGATTGTGATTTATTTAAGCATTGTTCATTAAAAAAAATACTTATAATTCAATATTATTGTGCCCTACAATGACTGTTTTCTAACAGTTGAAGTGTGTAACTTCGCTTTTTGTTACCGAATGGAGCTAACCTTAACATTCTGTCGCCTGGAGCAAGGCCGACTAAACGGGGGCTCTCCAACTGCCATGGACGGCGTTCCAGTGCAGTTGGCCTACCCGACAAAAGGCTACCCTATTAACCTATCGCGTGCACCGGGCAAGGAATGCCCAGGTATATGTATACCTTCCCTGGTGAACTTGGCGCACATCTCCTCTGCCCGCTTGACGTCGCCGGCCCGCAGCATGTACCGCGCACACTTGCTGTTCACGTACCGGTCCGCCGTGTCCATCGCCTGGGCCTCCTCCAACGACTGATACGCGGACACGGGATCGCCGGCATGCTGCTCGCAAAACAAGATCATAGATCCACATTAATACCAGGCATAAGTCGCGTTACCCTAACATATTTTCAATCCAAGTCTACAAAAATAATACGTCTTTTAATAACCCATATACAATATAACGAATTGAATCGTAATGATGGAACCGTCGATATTTTCAATAACAAATTCACAAAATATAAAAAAATACGAGTAATATCAGAAAAATTTCTATAATTATAATATAAACACCATTGAATATTTAAATTTAACTGTATACTAAAAGTTATTTAAGGATCTAGTACACTGTTTTTAGATGAGATGTATAGTCTAGTCCAAATACTTTAAATAAGTATGTTTTTCAGGTTTCTCCTTTGATTATGATCTGTTTGTGTACCATTTATAAATAAATAAATAAAGAAAAATATAAAACCAACAACAAAATAAATTAACTACACAAAACCTCCGGCCGACATCAATACACGTTACTTGAAATATTTTCCCCATTCATTAAACTTATTATTAAAGAGCAACTTATTTGTTACTTTTTCACACAAAAACTACTGAATGGTTTTTAAATGAAATTCTGGACTGGACTACTTTTTTATCTCACTAAATGATACGTATTGAAACAACAAAACGATTATTGCGATGCAATATTCTAATATCCGACTAGTACGTTGACAAACATAACATATTTAAAATTACACAATTTTGCAAACATATTTAATATGTTATTTAGGTTAACCCGATTCTGGGTATATCTAGTTTAATTAAAATTCACTTGGTCAAAAACATGATATCCGTGGAGTTGATCAAGTTAGGTAGTTACTATGTATCAGATAATTTATTGGTATTTGTGCAATGTTTACTTGGAACCGGAAAGGTTACGAGGGAATGAGGGTGGTTAGTTTTAAAAGTTCAAAAGTATAAAAGTTTGGTTTAAGGCTTCATATACGGACTGCGTCGTTCCAAGAATTTTTTAATACACTTAATAACGCCAGCCAGTCATCTCAGCCGTACGTAGCCCACTGCTGGACATATAATAATTAGAAGAAAAAATTGGATTATTTTCTCTCTTCTAATTTACATTTTATTTGTAATTTTGTGATGTAATGCCTTTTGCTATTCAGAACCAAAATACTATTATCAACAGCATAAAATATACCTTAATTTCCTCCAATTATAAATGTTCATATAAATGTTCAACATCAAATTCCCTTGAATGTATAAACACTTACCTTAAATATCCTTCCTTTAACAATAAACAGTTCTATGAGTGTAGGGGTGTGTTCTATCGCCGCATCTATATAACGTAAAGCTCTGTCCGTGTCTTTCTTGTAATCAAAGTGTTGTGCAGCAAAATAGTAAGCCCACAACAAAGCACTCGCTGGCTGCTTCACCTCACCAGCCTCTGAGCTAAACGTCCCATCTTTAGATAGATTTTCTATGTATTGTAATACTAAATTCTCTATCGTGTCCGCTTTGCTCTGATCCTCATATAACGACCTGAATAATAATAAAAATAAATATAGACAACATTGAACAGATCGATAAGTAGCTTAAGCACACTGTATTACGGAATTATAATAATTTTACCTTAAATTATCACTCAAAACAGTACTAAGCTTTAAAACCATATATTTCAAGACAATTTCATTTAGTCTTGTTGGAGTTATTTTTGTTAAAATTTAGATTCAATCCTATCAAAGTTACTTTTACACTGTAAACAACTCTAAGATAACCGATAGTGAACTTATTATATTGGTAATTACAGGAATATAATTATATTTTCAATTATAAGTACAACAGAATTGACCCCATTATCACGTGATTTAAGGTTATACCCCGTGATTTTACCTTATAAGGGTAAGCACACATATATCAGAATGTAATCAATAAAGTTGCTAACCTTTTGTAGGAGTAATCTTCGGAAATACTAATATGATGATGACAATTCTTTCACCTAACGAAATGTAAATTAATGCAGGTAATATAAACTATGATTGACGCGGAAATATGTTTATAAATTCAAGCCTATCAAGTTTTATTTCTAATTATATTAAGTCAAACTACGTAATACAACTCGCATAATATTTGCGTACTTTGCATTGCTGTTATAAAAATAATTAATTAAAATTTTCTCTTTAAAACAAACTTTTCTTAAAAAACTTTTCTATAGACAAATCAAACGAGCTCAAATCACAATTCTGCTAACAAAAGATAAACTTAATTACTTGCATCTTCCTCATAAATCAATGGTAACAGATATATTTATTATTTTGTGATTTGTTACAACTGTGCCATAAAGGGTTGTTATACTTGAAGCGCTAGTGACTTTTCATAATCACGCTACATTTGCAGAATTGCCAAATAAACTAAGCACAGTTGCGTTATTAAATTGCTAAGTTCCCATGGCCATCTACCAGTTCTATCATCAAACTCTGGATATTATCTTTGACCAAAAAATCATCAATAATGACAAATTATACTAGCCCCAACTTGATTAAGTCACTTCATATAATTACAGAGATCCCATGGCTACCTTCTGACTCCGTATGAAAATTGCAATGTCGTAGTTATGTGTGTAAGCTAAGACAGCAAGTTAAATTAAAGTATGCAATAAATACCAAATATAAGAACTAAGTATAGTGTTTGCTTAATTAGAAACCAGATAGTAGCATATGTGTAATAAGGTAAATTTAGCTTGCAAGATTTGATCCACACTAACTATAGCTGTATATATGAAGGGCCGCGGTGCGGGCAGCGGGGTATCGAGCAGCGAAAGCGCGACCAAGTGATTATAGTTTTAACTGATTTTAAAACGTTATTTAAAATTTAACCAGTATAATTAATAAACAATTAATTAAAAACATATAAATTGAAACGAGCCATCTGACCGCTGGCATCGAGAACTGGAAAGTTTCCCCGCGTCGCCACCCGCGGGCGTCCAGTACGAGGCCTTAAAAGTAGGTAACAAACATACCTCAGATCGACAAATAGTGGCGGGATGCCCTTGTGCAGACCGTGTCGTAGGTACTCGTCCACGAGGCGGGTGAACGCCTGCGATCGTGCCTCCGTTAATTGTAGACGCCTAGGCGCTATTGCTTTTGGATATTCTTTTCTATAAAATAATACATACATAATTAACAGCATTACCACAGTTCAATAGTGGTAACATAAAAGGAAGGCATTGCCCAAGTTGCACTTAGTCATGAGTCATCAAATGTCGCACTTCGTTTTCGCTCATAGTTATCACTAAAAAAATATATCATTCTAACAACAGGTATAGATCCACACCACACACCAGCCCTTTTACGTCCCCACTGCAGGGGCTCAGGCCTTCCTTATGGATGGTTAAGGAGGATGGGCCATGACCCTCCACGCTGGCCCAATGCGGATTGGAGGGTATTAACGACTGCAAATGCAGCCGGGACCAACGGCTTAACGTGCCTTCCGAAGCACGGAGTAGCTTGAGACAATAATTTTTTGATCACCCATCCCGTGACCGACCCTTGCGAAAGTTGCTTAACTATTACGATCGCGGGCCGCGGCGCTTATCCACTACGCCACCGAGCTACTCTACTATAGGTGTAAGATTCTATTATTTCTTTCTTCGCGCACAGTTTTATTCTATATAGGAGCGCATATATACTTAAAGTTTACTCCGTTTTAAATTGCAGTAATGTTTATAAACAAAGCATCTATTTATGATACGTCATTATACACAAGTATTATATTCTGGTAGTATTATATACATAAGAATACAAAGAATTAAACACATTTTAATCTGTTAGATATAAATCAAACACTTACTTATATACATCGAAAAAGGCCACTTTTTGTTCAGGATTACTTAATTGTTTAGCTTCTATTAATTTTTGATAATACATCACATTTTCTGGATTTCTCTTTAAAAGATCTTCATATACCACTTCAGCATCTTTATACCTGCAATATTTATTTATACAATAACAAACCATAAAATATTAAAGAAAATCACATACAATTAAATAGGTCAAGAATTTATGGAAATGTGAAACTGCGAAGGTGACATAACACACAAATATAGGAAAAATCATCTGCTACATTATTTTGACTCTAAATTGAATCTCAGGTATCAGCAATACCTTGAAACCGGCGTACGAGCCAGTCCGCCATTGACCGTCCACCGTCCAGCTATCAATCAAGCTTGAGCTGATGATGATGTAAAATATCTTATAAGAACAAGCAACATACCTCCTCAATTTCAAATAATATTCACCAGAGGTCTCCTTTATCGATAACTTATCAAGAATTTGGCTTTGGAATTTGTGTAGATGCTGCAGGGCCCTTTCGTACTGGCCTGACTCTGCCAACACCATATTCTGGTAAAGCAACAGCTCAGAATGCTCATAGTCATATGGCCCCTTCATTTGATTAGTACGGAAAGCATCTAGAATACTATTTGCCATCTCATAGTCTCCTAATAAATGATAGCTCATTGCAAAACCTATCCATGATGCTCTTTGTGTAGGTCTCAACATGAAAAGTTGGTACCGTGTATCCTGGAATGAACACATAATTAGGTTCTATTATTCTATATTTAAACCAACAATACAAAAAACAACAAAATGTCTAGTGTTAATACAATAACAAAATTTTTGTTTCACATGAGTTCTATTACTTCTTTTGCTGTGGAGGTATAGGAAGAATAGTTTAAAACTGAACAAAAGTATGTATTTACTAAAAGCTATTAAGGTGATCAGTGTATAAAAAGAAACATTGAAATAAATGGATAATATTTTGTATACATAAGTAATGATGAAAAGATAGTGTAAGTTTAGTTTTTATTGTTGAATAATTTACACCAAATTTCTTTGTTACATTCGACTCGCCAGCTTATCAATCTATATATAGTATAAAACAAAGTCACATCTCGCTGTCTGTGCACAGAAACCTTTAAAACTAAACAACAAATTTTATTGCAGTTCTCATCAATATACAAAGTGATTCAAGAGGAACGTTTATAATATGTATAACACAGAACAACGCGGGCGAAGCCGCTAGCGGAAAGTAACTGTTGTATTATAACACTATTTTCTTTAATATATTTCTGAAGATAATAGTATTACAATACAATCTTTTTCGCTGTGCAATTTTGGTACGCGCACTCAGTCTTCACTCGCAAATTAGAAATTGTCTGCGATGCACAGACAAGATGGGCTGCGCGAAGCGGAGATAGCCTCTATCACTTTTCATTCACTTCGATTTGTGTAAACACGAGTGTTACTCGTCATTATAACCACACAAAAATGGAATGAAACCAACGGCTTCGCTATAAACGAACAATTGTTATGTGAAGTCGTACTAATCAGACTACATTGTATGTATGTATAGTATGTATTTATGTGTATTTAATACAGGGTTATTTGTAAAACACCAGCAACTTCGACTTTATGGCAAACACCTAAACAACAATGACTTTAATCATTACACAATACTTTGAACAAAAAATATTTTCAAATTATTATACTGTCATGACTACTATAGGTATTATTGGGCTATGTTTTATTCATAACAAAAATGTGATGCTGTGCTAGTAAGTACCTAGTTGGATATTTATTATCTACGCTCTCATGATCATACACACACTAAATGCTTATAAAGTTATCAACATTTGAATGATAAATTGTTGTGAAAGGATGACATATTTATTTCATGCTTACAATTATCATTACCTAATGCTATAATGCATCTTAAGTATGTTTCACATTGACTTTAAATATTTCCAAATGAATAACATCGAATATTATTATAACATCTGTGTGTCTATATCTAAACACCATATTCTTTGCAAAGTAGGCAGTAAGGACTAACCACCACAAAGTATATAAATATAACAAGCATTTAAAAGACACTATTTCTAATTTACTTAAAAAACATGTAAAAATTTTGACATATACAACTCTTTATTACTCAATCTAATAATTCGCATTAGAGGTGTTTCAGCCAGCAAGCTGTTAAGCAAAATGTTATAAATTATCAAAAATTGACATTTGATTGTTTGATGGCATCAAGTATACTCCAAACCTACTGGACGGTTTTAAAGTCTCACCTACAAGAAACTACACACCACAAGGGGGTCATAGGCTATAAGGTAAAATAAGTTAATAAGGTGAAATCAAGGTATATAAGGTAATAAGGTGAAATCACAGCAAAATAGCTAATCATAAATAAATTTATGCTTCAGATCAAACAGCCAAATTTCTTAAAAATTTTATATCTCCTTTATACCATTGGTATTTTATTCTATTTATTAACAAAATCCACAGCTTTTAGTAATTTATAGACATGCATGACTTATAATTTAAAGACAATTACGGATCTTAATTTTTCAATATTAGCATAAAACAAGTCAGGGGGTATGTAATAAGATCATGCTTAATTTTACGTGAAAAATGCACAGATATACAGAAAAAGAAAAAGAAATTTAAATTCATTCGCTTAAAATCTGTAAGCTTTACAGGTTTATGTTATAAAAGTAATTATTGGTGTATAATACTTACTTACTATATACAGTAGTATATAGTAAGTAAGTATTATACACCAAGTACTTACTTACTATATACAGTAGTATATAGTAAGTAAGTACTAACTACTTTACTTTTGGGTGAGTAAAAGTGACATTCATTTCAGAAAGTTATTATTACTGAATCAATTTCACTACCACTTACCTTATAACCTTCCAGATCACGCATTTGAATTTGTAGCAAAGAGAGATCTCTCAATATTTGGATATTCTCTTTTTCCCATTTCAATGCATTACGGTAGCACTTAATAGCTTCATCATATTTCTTATCAGATCGTTGTAGGAGACCATAAACATGCCAACAGACAGGCGATTTTAGATCATTGCGAAGGCCACGGCGTACATATTCATATGCTTCATCTTTGCGACCCAAGCAATTAAGAGTCAGCCCTTTCATAGCCAAAGTTTCTAAAAATAGTAAATATTTGATGAACCATTACAATCATTTAAATACTAAAGATACTGAATACTAAAATTAATCACATTTTTAATCAAGAAAGGTTTATGCAAATTGTTTTAAGATAAATCTAAGAAAACAACAAAATAAATCTTACCTCCATGCTCTGCAAATTTTGGATTCGATAATATTTGCTTTGCGAATTTCAAACCATTTTTGTATTGTTTGTGTTCGTAACAGCGCTAAAGTTGAACAAATCATATTAATTACATACGGCTAACCTCTATTTATAAATAGATACAACCAAAAATTGCTGATACTAAGTTCATAGAGCTCAATTATATTATTTCTTAAATCATTAGCTATTGAATTACATGTGTCATAATTTATAAGATATATTAATAACTATATTGAGAACTAATTCAGCAATCGTTTTCTAAAGAGTATATATCCAGATTTTCTGAAATAATTCGCAAAGGGGCTGACATGATACACAAAACTCAAGTCAATGTTTACAATATAAGTAACACTCACCAAAATTCTTTTAAAAAGCGCATTTTCTTTAGGCGGTAGAGGATTACTAGGTGGCATTTTGTTCTAATAAAATGAATCTTTCTATTACTTCACTAACAAATTGTTAAATTTCTAAAACCTCGTGGCTATAAACCAAAGAAGTCGATGAAGAATATTGTCTATGGTACGTACATTGGCATTGGCAGAGGTCACGTGACCTATAGTGTGACCAATGTCTGCAAATAAATATAATAGAAGAAAACAAAAAAAAAGCAACAATTTAGCTTTATTGTAGACTTTGAAATTAACAGAGAAAAAATGTAAGCCATAGTCATTTTTAAAATAAGTAATTAATTTATGAAGTTTGTAATGTGTTAATTTTCTTATATTTTCCTTCATACAGAGTTTGTTAATAGAATAAATAATATCAGGCATCCCTTTTTTTTAATGCAGATGAAATGCGTTTTTAAGCCTTAAGCCAGGGTTACAACAGTGGTGCCAGAGCACCATATCCGTCCTGAAAAGGACAGTCTTAAGCTAGGCCGGTCTACCTGGTAAAATCCTTTTTTTTAATAAAAAAAAGACTTATTAGGGGGGAAAGAATCCCGGATCCTGCAAGGAAAGCTCCGGAGCCAACCCAGTTAATCCTGTTGCAAGTACTCTCTGCGGTAGCGAAAAGGACTAGAGTTCCGGCTAGAAGAGCGCCGGAGCCATGCTTTTAGTCTTCCCAATGTTTTCAACAGATATTTTTTTTATTAATAATATTATATCATAAGCCTATTAATGTCGACACCAAGTAAATGGGACCAAGGTTTAAATAGACGCATAATAGAAAAAGAGATCAACACACTAGAGTTCATACGGTGTGGTATACTTCGATTAAAAACACAACTGTTGATCAAAGTTGGTATAGTATTATTCTAAGGGTTAGTCTTTCTTAACTGTGGATGGAATAAAAAAAACGGTTAATCACATGAGCATTGAGTTAACAGTCGCTTTACTTGATGATATTTTAGAGAGTAAGGAACTGCTCTATACATGAAGTTTCTTGCTTTTTATCAGGGCTTGGAAACCGGTTTTTTATTGAACCGGTTCGACGTAAGTACATGCGGAACTTTACATAAAAGGTTCAGCTCCTTTGAACCGGTTTACTAGATATATAGTTTATATAGTAGTTATAGTTTATATAACTACTATATATATAGTTTTCTTCATTAACCGGTTTAAATATGACTCCAGACAAACAAATCTTAGAAACTTCAGCGCAGTTTTTAAGTGCCTAAACTCCTATCTATAACATCCGTACACAAGTATGATGAATGTCCTTGCTTAAAAATGATATAATTCGCATTAAAAGCGTAAGAACATTGCTTTTTACGAACCAAGCGAATTAACCGGTTTTTATTCCATCTGAATTTGACTCCTCATTTAGTTCCGATCCGGAACGGAACATTATAAGAGAACAGGTTTTATCTAAATAAAAACGGTTTATTATGAACCGGTTTCAAGCCCTGCTATTTGTGTATTATATAAGCATTTTATTCGAATTAACTGAATGAAATTCTAAATGATTTATTTTGTTTTTATCCACTTATTGAGCAAAATTTTGAATTTTATGTAAACAGACTCTAATATACATATGCATATTTCAGTAACACATATAACATAATAATAGACATTTATAATTAATATATATTTATAATACTGATCGGCAAACTTCGCGCTGTGTCTTTGTAATTTGGTTAACTCGTAATGTGCAACGCGTGTCTCGGGCCGTTTTCTATGATTCGCACGTGTCTAAGTAGATTAGTGTTTGGTGTGCGGGTCGTGGGCCGCGGGCCGTGGGAGAGAAAAAAAGCTATCTAATGGTAAATTGAATACTATCGAGTCGAAAAAAGTAATTGATAGTTTAAAAACCCATTTTTCGTTATTTTGCTTAAATAAAACTAAAAACGTATGTTTTTTGTTGGTACGTGATTTAATTAACTAAATAAACAAAATAAAAATACAGAAGAGATTGAAATAACATCAAGGAGGTGCCCGCTGAGTGCAAAACCCGCCGCATACCATGGGTTTCTAAATGAACATTTTTTATATTGTCATTTATGACCTATCATATTACTCAAATATACAAGCAATTGTGTCAACGCAAATAGGCCATGATTTAAAAAAGAAGAAGAGAAGCATAACACATGTCATAACTTTAGACATTACTTGATGTCGTTAGGTGGTTCCTTGTTATTGATAAATTGCATTTTTATTTTATTCCTAAATATTAAGGCCACCGACTTGGGTGACTCCTACATAAGTAAAGTGAAAAAGACTCAATACTTTAGGTTGTATTGTTGACCGACGAGTCTGGGGCACGTCTGGGATGGTATTGACTTGTCAAACTTATTTATGGCTTAGCTGAATATTTTCCAGCTGAAGACTTTATCCGAATGTAAAAAAAAACACATTCAGGATAAAAAAAAGTGATGTATCGTAATCGGAAATAAAGCACTCAAGTGAAGGAACTACTGATATGTTATTTTGCCTAATAAATAAAAAAAGATGTATCTGAGAACACATTTAAATAAAATCGACGTTAATCCGTTAATGAGGAAGTATTTAAAAAATACATTAGTTTCCTTAAATCAAACTAGATGACGTTGCGGTACTTTCTTGATTTCTCCATAACAACTTTACTTTGATCCTAATCTTTGATCCATTCGTTTCCTGCAAAAAACAAATTTTGCTAGAGTCGCCATCTGGTGTGGTCCTTTTTTAGTGTTTTGTTTTTTTTTTCAAATACTTCCTCATTATTGTAAACAATAGAACCGAAAGGATTTTAAGTTAGCGATCTGGGAAGAGAATTATCCTTAGGAATTATATTGTCATGTATGACACCGTAAACCAAGAGTTTATCTTCAAAGGATTTAGGAAGAATAGGCTGTTGCACCTATTTGAAAAGTTTCTTAATTAAATCCTAAACTCTTTTTAATTTTTATTCAATCAGTAAGTGTCATAAAATTAATTTTAATTTTCAAATTCAAATTTATATTTTCAAATATCGCGCGATTTTAACGAAAATGCTGGACGCCATATTGCTCTCTAGTTGTGAGGTCAATTGGCATTGTAAACAAACGCGTTGCTATTGATTTTTGAAACAACTTTTAAACGGTTCCTTAGATTTTATACACTCTTTTTCATATTGAAATAGTTGTAAGAAAATAGTTATAAACAAAAATCATATTTTGTAGTAAAAAAAATGATCAGAGATAACTATTATTATACGTAAATTTGAGCGAATTTCCCTTTATAAACTCTAATCCCTTAAATTATTTTATTAAAAAATACTTTTTCTTTATTTCGTCCTTAAAATATTAAAAAAAAACCTCTAAACATGTATATTATTTGTTTTATTTTTCTTATTTTTCTTATTTGTTTATAATACCGAATTGAAAAGTTTTATTTCAATTTTAAAAACTCTTTATTTTATGAACATTTTCAGACTACTCATTGCTTCTTTTTAGTTTTTTGTTATCGTAATAACTAAAATACCTTATTCAACTCGAGTTAAAGTTAATGCGAGATACGCTTAACTCGAAACAATAACTCGATTTGAGACAACACAAGTTAACTCGAAACAATAACTCGATTTGAGACAAACAGTCAGTGACAAGGAAGCTGTAAGTCTGTGGTGACAGTGAAATAGATAATTTAGTAGGCTAAATATTTTTGAGCGACTTTTTTATTTGCTCTATTCATATTGCATAAATTAAATCTGTCGTGTATTAACAATAATAATATTATTTTCAATTATAGTTTCCTTTTGCTTGAGAATTCTGTTGTAATTGTCACCTATTCAGCAAGATATGGGTATAGAAAACATGCGTCGTTGGCCCATGTATATTGTGTTTGCTGTGTGTATATTGCTTATACTTTCACTATTTAATAGCTGGAGCATCGAAACTGAATTACGAAACAGAGTTGCTGAAATAAGTACTCAACTCCAAGAATGTTCCAAGCAACAGACTTCGTGTATGGAAGAATCACTGACCCTACTGGAACAGAGGGATGGTTATGTTTCTAAAGTGAATGATTTAGATAAACAAAAGGTCAAATTAAACGACGACGTTGCTGATTACAAAAATAAGTTATCAAAATCCGAGACACAAGTGAATCGCACATTGGTTGATGTGGAACTGTGTAAAACAGAGTTACAATCTTTGAAAAACTTGCAACTCAGTAAGTCTGCTACGCTCGAAACTTTGCGTCTCGAAAAAGATACTTTAACAGCTCAACTGGCTGAGAGGAAACAAAAAATTGAGATGTTGGAAAAGGAGATAGAAAAGTTAAAATCTTCGATGACCACTAAGAGTGCTCCTGCTGTGCCATCAAAGGTAACTCCTGCGGCACAACCACCCAAACTTAGTCCTGCTTTGAATGTTCACAATCCTATTAATGAGCCTGTCTTCGATAATGATGCTAAAGAAGAATTGGAAGATGCTAATGCTATAAATGATGGAAGTGATTTTGATCAGCAATTAAAATAACTTTAATACTCAGTATCTATATTATATTGTTTAGTATTTTTTTTTTGTTTCACAGGCATTTTTCAGTAGTAATATTTTTATACATTGTATTGCATAGTTGTTAATATATAGTTTCTCATTCTATTAAATGCTTTAAAATTATACACTCATATAGTATTTTTACGCTTTATAGTAATGAAAGAAGGATGGGAATTTTTGGATACTAATTTTTAGAGATGTCTAATGAAGGTATCGAAATAGAGATAATACTCACAAATAAAATTATTTGCAAGGATTCAATTTGAAATAATGTGTGTTTTTAATGTAAGGAGGAACAGCAATCTGATTTATGCTATTACTGCTGAGGTGCTTGTGGAATGGTAGGTATTTCTTATTAAGGCATATCAACATCATCTGTACCAATACAATTAAAGTCAGACTACATTAAAGTACTTTATACTAATCATTGAACTATTCTCTACCATACATTGAACACTGTAAACAATAATTTCTGAATTGCCATGTTAATAATGATCTTGTTATATTTAATGGTGCTAAATCATATGTTTGATATCTGTTGTTCATTAGAATTCTGCATGTAATATCCAGTCAATGTCAATCATACTGAATAGGTAAATGGATAGATATTTAGGTTAAGATTATGATAGTAAGCAAAAAGTTTTTGAGAAGAATGTCATTTAAGTTGAAATATCAAGTGTGTGAAGAAATATGGAAAGAGGGAAAACTTTTAATTCAAATGATTTATACCATGATGCTAGAAATACACTTAATTTAATGCCAACTGACAATTTACTCTATAAACCCTTTACCAAGACCTTGTGCTCAAAAATTTTTCATGTGATGTCATAACTGATTGATGATATGTCAGTGGCACTACTATGTTATAATCTACAAATCATCAGGGTCTGATCTAACTTTTTGTTTTACATACAAGTCATGAACTTGCTTCTTCTTATAAACATGGGATGTTAAATATGTAGCTATTTGTACTAGGGGTTCAAAACAAGTAAATAATACATTTTTGAAGACAAATGGAATGTAAAAAATGAATTTTTGTAGATTTACAACTATAATTTTTTTTTTTCAATCTAAAAACCGACGACAGCTAAAAAGTTTGAAACTTATAAAATAAAGCTTTGCGGTTTTGTTTGAAAACGCAATATATATATATTTTTTGATATGTGCTGTGTGTGATATGTGATATTAAGCCCTTTCAGTTGATACCCTATACGGAATGATAAAATATTTTTTTTTAGTTTCTTCCTTTATGCTTTCTAGAGGGTGCTGTTGCCAATTTAATGTAACGTCATATAACCTATAGCACGCGGGTAACTAAGACGCTTCTAATGGTGCCTCATTTGTCCAGTTACAAGGGGTAGATTCGAAGGGAACAGATGAACATTCATACTTACACACTGGCCGAAATCATAACTGTCCTTTTTGCTTTGTAACTTAGAAATTTTGCCTCCCATCCCCCATTTTGATCGGACTCTGTGAATTATCATTAGACTGTAATATGCAAAAATTAAGAAGTTTTGTGATATTTAGTAGCATCATAAACAGGGTAAAATCAAATTTAAATAAAATGCCATGAAGGTGCCACATAATTAATTACGTTATAAAATAGTTGATGATTATTAGCTAAAGTTTTGATTTGATGTATTAAATTATATTTATTATGCAGTATTAAATTTAATTATATCATTTTAAATTTTGGAAATTTAGAATCTCAAAGCTCGGATTATGTATTAATAAAATGTATTCAGTAATATTCAATAAAGCAAAGTACAGTCAGCAACAAAAATATGCATTTAGTACAAAATAAATTTATATAATCAATGCTATAAATCAAAATGTTATCTATTCTAGTTAGAAATTCATAGTTGTTGTTGACTGTAGTAAAATAAAAAATCGCACCCATGCTATGAAAAAAAATGAGTAAAATACACCATTTGGTTTGTAATTTCAAACTGTATCTGCTGGTAACCTGTTTCGTTAATGTAAAAATTGTCAGTTAACAAGTTTTACCAGCATGGATGCAATATTTTTGTTCAGTGAATATCTAGAAGTAAAACAATACAGTTACCTACGAAAGTAGACAAACTAATTATTCTAAACAAATACTAGGTAGTGTTTTAAGGGACTTCCATTTTATCAGTTAAGCATGTGTCAATAAAATTAGCTCACGAAATTCGAGCGCATTATTTGTTTAAAAGATAGGTATTTCTCTGCTATAAGGTTTACAACTTGTGTTTTTTAATGTTTTAGCTTGGTTATGCTTATATTATTGATATTGATCAAGGGATAGGTACGAAAATTTGAGAATTACATTACATCACAATTTATTTTATATAGTTTTTCATTATTTTCATAAATACTTGGGAACCTTCTAATAACTATTGAGAAAGATACTTATTTTACCACCCGATTGAAATACCATTATCATATTATACTAGCTGTTTTCCCGCAAATTCGCACGCATAAATCATAGCCTGCGTCACGCGCGTATAATGTAGCCATAGGTGAAAGGATTTAATTCTCCTTTCACCTATGGCTACATTAAGGAGCCTATTCGATGCAAACAAACAAATCTTTCTCCTTTATAATATGTACTAGCTGTTTTCCCGCGACATCCCACTAGTAAACTATAGCCTATGTCAACCGCGATAATGATTGAGCTAACGGTAGGAGAAAGAATTTTAAAGTCGGTTCAGTTTTTTCGGAACCTATTTGATGCCAAGAAGCGATCAAATCATATTAGCACCGACCAAAATGGCAATTACCTACTTCGGTATTATACGTATAGTTGGGAGATCGTAGTTTACAATTACAGGTACGTTGGATGCGTTTTATTAAAAAATATCCCGCTGCTTCTACCAATCGGAGGACTAGGAATAACCCGTGTTTTCTTTAATTAATCAATTCGATCGATCAAGTAAGGAGGGTTGACGCTACGACGTCGCTCGTATAAGTTGTGTACTAACCTGGTTTGATAAGTGTACAGATGTTACTCGGTGGTTAGTGCAGTCGGTCTGCGATGGAAAGGCCTTACAGAAAGTTAGCTTATCTTCTCTAAGGCCTTTCATAGGATGGGTGACCAAAAGATTGTTTGTTGGTTGGCTGCATCGATGCAGGCGTCAACTCCCATCAACCCACACTGGGTTTGCGTGGTGGGTTATAGCCAATTCTCCATGGCACAGACTTGGAGAATGCCAGTACCCCAGCAGGTGGGATACGCCGTTTAACTGATTTTGATGATTCAGATTTACATAGTATATATTGATGTGATTCCGACTTTAGACTAGAAAGAAAGACCTGTGAAAAACGGGTGACTGATAATGATAAATAAGAGACAACAAAAATGTATTCTAAATAGTTTTATTTTTATCTTATACATTTCTAGCATAATTAAACAAAAATACATATATCCATTTCACTACTTTAAAGTAATGAATAAAACAACAGACTTATTAATACATATCTATTAATAGCGGACTATTATTTGTAAATCTCATTTACAATTCTAGAATAAAACTTTAAATTGCAATCATAAGTAGTACATAGATTTATTTCAATGCAGTATTTTATCGCATAACTTTACAAATCCATTTTGACATTAAGAACTGCAGAAAAATAAAAAAGTATAATCGAAAACTACTAGCACTATTAAAATAACTCGAATTATACCAAATACAGTAAAATAACAATCATAATAACCTAAATATCATCATTATCTCGTTAATCATTACATTTATATTCTAAACTAATGAAGACAAAACAAACTAATTCTAATGAGTAAGTAATAAATCGGTGGTATACAAGATATTAAAAAAAATTACACTGTCACTGGTCGAATTTGTATAAATGAATATTTTGATCCCGACGTGCAGCCGTTTGTACATTAAGATACAACTAATACCTATCGCTTACTAACGTACCGGCTTCAATTAAATAAGCCAATAGAAGTGCGAGTCAGATAATGCGTTATATTTTACACGTTCAGCATACTTACTTAGCGATCGAGATTAAGCAATCTTAACTGATACATAGTGCTATACGCAGATGAAAATTAGCCATGTGTCATATTAGTTGGATCTTAGATATTTTCTAATACCTATATAATTTTATGTGCAAAAAAATGAAGGCACTGCTCCCCTTTATACGCTTCAAAGCTTATTTGCAGTTATCACACGTCATGGATACTCATAACATACCAACGGTACGCACATTAAATAATTTTAGTTTTAAATCAATTCCTACAAATCTATAATCGAAACTGATAAGTTTCGAATTTTTTTTTTCAAACCGTTTTTAACGGCACATTTACATTTGTCGATAGGGCCAGCAGGGAGAGTATGGTCGGTTTCTGTAAGCATATTCCACTAATTAGTATGCTAATGACCAATCAATGAATAGGAACCACAGAAATCCGCATGCAGAGTGTGGGAAAAGACTTTGATTAAAAAAAACTATTTAAAATAGCTACAAGCGTTGGACTAAGTTGTTTGTGTAGCAGCGACCAGCGCCTTCTAATCTAGGATATAATTAGTTTGAAAATTTCATTTAAATGCATAATTTATGAAATACAAACAGTAATGTTACAAGTATAAAAGAAAAACAATCAGACACAATAAAAACTATATTTTGGGGATTTGAATTGTGACTATCATAGATATTTTTGTCTATGGTTAAAGTTATCTGTTGGTTGTTAAAAATGAACTTAAACAAAATTAACTTATGAGAACAAAATTCATAATTAGTGTGGAAACTTTGTCTTAAAGTATAAAATAAAGTACTTTCAAACATAAAATTGCATAAAAATAACATAGAAATATCATATAAATACCTATGTAACACCTTCAGTTTTGGCACACCTGCTTAGTCACCTTTGTGGACGACAGACACTTTATTTTGTAGGCTTTACACCTTTATATTATTGACATTTTACCTTTATATAAACATTTTTATAAATAAGGCAGTTTTTTACATATAAAAATAAAACTACTAATCTCATTTTGATAAAAATACATGCATGAAAAATACTCCATTGAATTAAAAACATATTTTTTGTGAAGTCCCAGAAAAACTAATAGTTCTTTTAATTGCATAAGCTAATTTTATATATATTATCATAAAGGTGTAAAGTAAACTAGCAGGTGTACCCCAACTGAAGATTGCCTATATATTGTCAGCATTACATTGTGTATGTTTTGTCACCTAAATTAAAATTACAATTGGGCTGTGATCAAATACTTTAGTTAGGATCACTATTTCTCACTTTGGTAAAAAATATATGGTTTAATTAGAAAATTGCTTGTTACATAAGTTTGCAAATGACCAACCATAATAAGGTCATTTATTATAAAATTCATAAAGCGCATTTGTAACTTTTTGCAAACTGTAAATTAAAATTGAACTTTGACAGACAAACCCATCACTGGACCATATAATGCTATGACATAACCACCATTTTTAAATATACAGTTCATTAATTGAAATTCATCCTTCTCAATTACAAAATAAATGGTGGAATGGATTATAAATCACTGGTCTTTAATATCCGTCATCCCCTCTTCCTTAACAACTTCTTCAAAAGCAGACAAGAGATTCCTCCTGCATTTACTCTCATCTGTGTAATGAATAGCCCAAATTATATATTCACCGACATTAAGGGGGTCTTCAGCAAAACTGATCTGAGTCTTGCATTTTCGTTCCCATGTCATTGTATCATTACTAAGGCAATTCTTTGATCTAGTAAACTGTACAAAACCTTCACATTCAACAAACAGTTTTGATAATTGAGCATTCAAAGCATCATGTGATCTGTTTGAATCAGTTCCACTGGTTGAAGGCATACAATCACCTTGTCCCAATTCACAATTAGGTGGTGTGACAGGTATACATTTTCGTCTGACACGTCTCCCTAAAATACCATCACCTTTGCTGTTAAAATCAGAACAATTTTCTAAATTAAAACCTCTTTTCAGACAGTTCCCTTCAGTTCTGTCATGGCTGGAATCAATATCTGGATTTTGAATGTCATTTGTTTTAGTTTTTTTACTTTCAAAACAGTCAATTCCTTCTGGTGGCTGACAACTATCTGCCCATTCAGGGCTACTAGATTGTAATATCCTCTTTCTGCTATTTCTCTCTATTTTAGTGTTACAGACTTCAGAAGTATTTAAAAAACTACATAAGTTGTGCTCTTCATTTCTGAAAAATATTAATTGTTACTGAGCACTATAGAACAAATTCTTGTTTTAAGAATACAAATTATGATATCATTTTCTACAGTTGTAAGAGGATAGGAACAATGAAAAACGAAAAAATTAAATTATTAATTTTATTTAATTAATCATACAAACCTTGAAAATCGCTCATGACGACTTTGTATCTTGTCAATGTTACGAACAGAAATGAAATCATGTCTTGTATATTGCATGTCATGTTTAAAAAACAAAGATATTTTTTTTCTACTTTTAATAGTTCTTCCAAACCATTCCAGAATTGCATCATCAGATAAATACAAAGCTAGATTTTGACGTTCATTGTCAATCATTTGCTTATACCATGCTATAAATTTTTTAGCTTGTTGCAGTTCTGCATTTTGGTCCCGAGTTTCATGTGATATTTTTATTGTACTTTGAGAAACATTATTTAAGGGGATTGACATTTTTTTCTATAAAAAAAAAAATTACTCATAAGTGCATTTTAATCTTCACCAGGTTTTAAAAAAGAAGGTATTATTGATGTTAAGTGTAAAAATTAGATATTAGATATTACTTTATCATTAATCGTAAGGTGGTGGTGTTTCAGCTTCCAAGTGTTACCATTTCAGAGGTTCCAAGTTCGATACTTGACTAGGTTATATAAGGTCAGAAGTTGTGTACTTCCTAATGTTTCATAATTCCATTACTTAAACTAACTACTGAAGACTGAACCGATAAATTTATGTAATGTTTACTTACATATTTCTGAGAATACTTTCACAACCTTATGAGAACTGTCAGTTGAATTGGCTAATTTGAATTTGAGGTCTGCTAAACGACGCTTGCTTTCTTCGATATAAGCAGATGTGGAAGCATTAATCTCTGACAATTCTTTATTCAATGAACACAGGTTATGATTAATCTTTAATAAATGTTCTGGAAGAAAATAACCCACAAAAGGATTAGATGCAACACTGACAAAATAAAAACAAATGAAAAAGATTCTTGATTTAAAAATATAACCTACGTAAATTCGTTGCTGTTTCCAATGCAAAATCTTCAATGGTCCAATCATCGTCTACTAATAATACTGTTGAGGCAAAATGTGTCGTGGAATCACATGAAGAATTCATCTTATTACTCCGTTAAAAGTACATCTGTTATCCCAGAAGTTTTATCTCTTGAAGCCTTACAGTAAAACTCACCAAAAAAATCTAAAACGGATAAAAAACAAGGGTTTAGCGTCGTTTGCTTTTTTCTTAACCATGCCATAGAGAAAAGTGCTAAGAGTAAAAGTATATGTGGTAATTTGTGGTGGTAATGTAGGAATGTGGTACATAATGACGAAGTATTAAAAAAATATATAAATTAGTTCTAGAGAGCAAACTAGATGTCACTAGCAATGAAGAAGTATTTTAAAAAAAAATTAACAATATATGTCGCTACAGTATATTCTTGCTTTTTCCATGAGAACCTTTTTGGTTTTCTTTCATATTTAAAAGTAAATTAGTTTTCAAATCTGAATAAACAACTCATATCCTATTTGTACTTTTTCGTATTGGTATTGATATCTAAGTTTCAAACTTTTCAAATTTCAGTTTTTTAATATGTTAATTAAAAGGAACGGAAATGACTGTCTTCGGTCCATTCGTTTCCTGCAAAAATCAACTTTGCTAGAGTCGCCATCAAGTGGAGGTTTTTAAATACTTCCTCATTATCGGATTTCGTAGTGGTGAAAATACCTATTGGACCGTAAATAATGACGCTAATAAATAAATTCGAAAATAGATTTCTCGATTATTGAATATTATTAATTGATTTTGAAAAAAATATTTGAATACATGTCTGGGACGGGCTTTATTATTTCACATCATGTCGCAAAAATATATGTATATATGTCCATCAGTGCCAACTTGCAATAAATAAATAATTCATCAAAAAAAGTTTAATTCACATTAAAAGTAATATCTTTACCTATTATAAGGTATAAAATATATACTTTTGTCTTTTTCTTCTTATTATTAAAAAAATATACACACAAATAAAAAAAATTAAATTAAATGTCAAAGCCAGAGTACTCATAAGTAGAAAATAATAAGTGCAAAGACACCCATTAAATTTGTAGTGCGATCTCGAGTTCGGTGCTGTAAGGCCAAAGAAGTACCGTGCGAAAACACGCAGTTTTAAATAATCTATAACTTGATCAATTATTAACGGATTTTTTATTTTATTTTACTATATTTAAATAATATTATAGATCAAAACAAAATAAATCAGAAAATAAAATAAATATTGTTATATATAGCAATATCTATATCATGAGACACCCTAATGAGGGAGTATTTAAAAAAAACGAAAGAACTAAAATAGCACCTCCACTAGATGGCGACTCTAGCAAAAGTAGATTTTTGCATATAACGAATGGACCAAAGACAGTCATTTCCGTTTCTATTTACTAACATATTAAAAAACTGAAACTTGCAAAGTTTGAAACTTAGATTTCAATACAAATATGAAAAAGTACAAATAGAATATGAGTTGTTTATTGAGTTTTGAAAACTAATTTACTTTTAAACGTGAAAGAAAACCGGAAAGGTTGTCACGGAGAAATCAAGAACGTACAGTGGTGACATCTAGTTAGAATTCGGGAAATAATGTTTTTTTTAATACTTCCTCATTATTCATATTTGCATTTGGGTGCATATATATAAGATTTTTTTAAAGTGGTTGATACCAATATATTTTAATGAAATTGAAAATTATCATATCGATATCCTAAAAAGATATTTTCTTTTTAGTCATGGTATTTTTTTTTAAACAGTACCTAATAACAACAACTATAATAGATAACCGGTACTCCAAATATAATTAAGGCGGGCGAGAATAGAGTTTGTTTAATAAAAGAAATCCTTGGAAACGCAATAACGCAATTCTTTTTAAAAAGTTATGCTTAGAGAACTCTTTCGTGAATCGGTTTATATGTATTTCGAAACTAGTAAGGGATAAATTCCGAGTTACAATAACTCTTGCTACACTCAACTCAAATTGACACATCACTAATTCATGCAACCCTACCCTACAGGCCACCGCGCTTCTTTGGGAGTGGTAATGTGTCGAACCAATCTACTGCGTTCTTGCGATCATTGACTTCGTCCATTGGTCTATCCTTTGTCAGCCAATCATCGAAAAACCAGTGAGGATTCCCTGTGTAAGTTTACGATTTCGGACTAAATGTTTCATAGCGAGAAACGGGAAAGTTTTGTTTTTGCAATAACAATGTCGCTTTTCTTCCTGCAAATTTTTGTGTAATGTCTGACGAAAATTACGCGAGAAGCAGCCATTTTGGTTACGTTGCGTTGTCCTCCAGCTAATAAATATGACGTGTAGTTATCCGGGTATGAAATTTCCGTTTACAATTTATAAATGTTAAAGCAAGCAATAAATAGGTAATATTGGAATAAAATAAAAGTATTATCAGCAAATTTAATGCTATAGAATTCATATATTTTTTTTAAATAAAATGTAATAAATATCAACCTAGTTTCCAAAATATCTATTATGTATCAAAATACGACATGTAAAAAGGTTGTCTTATCGCATGAAGCGCATTTCTCCAGACAACTTTGTGGCATCAGATATTTGTAGAAGAAACCGCAAGAATAACGTCAACAATTTATTTAAGTGTGATATTGCAACATTATTTGAAAATGAGTTATGCAAAAACAAGTGCTGGCTTCCTAATATAAAAACCTCATACATTTTTGATGAACATTGCATTGTTTTTTTCAGACCTCATTAAGTATATACCTAATTTTATTCCAGTAATTAATCATGGAGCATGCTCAGCTTCAGACTTCAGATGGAACACAGGTGATGACCATCAATGGTCAACAACTACAAGTTCTACAAATGAACAATTCACCTCACATGATACAAGGTCCAAATGGCCAACAAATTGTTGTACATGCAATACCATCTATAGCCCCTACTATTCAGGTAATTCTGGATAATCATTAATCATGTCTTTATTTTGTTTTTACTATTTTTCTAAATGTCTATCACCTCTGTTCATGCAATCAAACAGATTGGAGCACCACAAATCCAGGTAGTAGTAAGATATAAGTTCATACTTATTTATTTAATGCTGAGCCATTGCTGGTTCTGATGCTCATGTACCTTGACTGGTGAAGACTATGCATCAAAAAGATGTAATAAGAAACTTAGGCCATCTATAATGCATAATCTTAATAACCTTAAACAGTCATGTTTGAAATCAGCTCTGCTTTTAACATATCAAGTTGTAAAACAATATTTAACTTATCTATGTTACTGGCAATCTACATAATTCAGGTACTCTATATATTTTAGCTAGGGAATATATAGAATGCTAGAGGCTTCCAGGGAATGTATGAAATATGAATTATATTACCATTACATATGTTCCCTAGGTATGTATACAATTTCTGTATACATACCTAGAGGGATGTATAGAGAGAGTATCTGCTGTCAGTAGAGAACTTCAAATCATGGATTTTAGTTCTTAGTTTCATTTTACTTAATTCAAACAGCCCCAAGTTCATATATCTCATATATTACTTTATGATAAAACAGGTTGCAACACCTAATGGCCAGCAGTTGCAACAACTTCAAGTTCTACCAATATCGAGTCTCCAAGGTAAGAAGGGTGTTAAAGTATGTTCAATTGCATTTACAGATAGTGTCCTCTAAACAACACAGTTAAACTAATAGTGGAAACATACAGCCTTTTAGTAATCAGAAACAAAGTATCACTGTTGTTTAGACCTTACAAAATATTCATCCATAACACTGTTAATAATATAAACAAAAAATCCTTGTCTGTCCTGGGCTATTTGTGATGAAAACATTGAAAAGAAATAACTTTTTTTTTCTATAATCTTTTAATCCAATATAGATGAAGTTACAGACATAAGATATCAAAATTTCACACCTTAATTGATGGGAATTAAATAGTAACGGGAAGTAAATCTTAAAGATGAGAATGAATTTAATATATGAATGTGTTTATATATATTTTTATTTTTAATTAATTTTATTACATTTCATTATTAAACTATGGCTCTTTGAACCTGAGAAGCACTGACTAATGATATTTCAGGCCCTGGAGGTAACATACAACCAATGCAACTTGTACAAACACCAGATGGGCAAACATTTCTGTACTCACCTGCAGCCAGCACCCAACCCACTATTGATCCACCTCAACCACCACCACAAATCATACATCAGCCTACTGGTAAGTTATTTGTACAACCTTGTATGAATTTCAAAATGTCATATTCACAAAATGGCCCGTTTTTAAGTGAATCGTGTATATTTAAGACTAACCAAGTGATTCTTTTTGAAGATTCAATTATTTAATCTCAATCAGTACACAGGGCCACTTTCAAGACTGAAAAATCAATTCATTGACACTTTTATTTGTATATACAACAAACACCACTGGCATATTTAAACTAGGGATAAATAGTTTTGCATCACTTGAACATTTTGGGAAACAGATCAGTGGTCCATCTATATATGAATGTAAAGGTCATTACTATGAAGATCCACTATGAAGATTTGGGCATATTTTGCCCTCATTATTATCAGTTAAAAGTCTAATAAGTAATATATATTAGTCTATTCAAAAGTGCTTTCTATCCACTTATTTATATACAGAATACAGCAGAATTCATTGATTATCCAAAAATGTCCCACTTCGAGTCCCTCCCTTAAAATCCAAAAATGTTTTCAGTGATAAACATAAATGGCAACGTGCTTCAAATGACAGGGGTCAGTAACACACTTCAGCAACACCAGGTTATTAATCAACCAAATATTGTAATGGTAAATATACAGTTTATTTTTTTTTAGTTTATTTGGGTTAAAAAGCATAGTATCACAATGAATCTTTATTAACTAAGTATATAAGTTATGTGAAAATAATTAATTGTAAAACCAACACTGTTAACCACGGGTAGATTTATATATAATTTGTTATAAAAATTGCAGATTTATGCAGATTGAGATATTTAAAATGGATAATATTCATAAATCTAATGATGATATCGACAACTTATAATTTAACTAGAATATTATAACTTTTCACCCACAATAAGGTCATCATAATAGGCCACATTTGACATGCAATATAAATTTTGATTAAAAATGTGTACTATTGTTCTTGTTTCAAAAGAAATAATGGTTAATTTCAGAAACTACTTTTTAAATAGTATATTTGATATTAATTTTTGCATCAGTTTTTTTACCAGCCTTTGAATATCAGTGCAGATACAGCCGAAGCACGGTTTTGGTCACCAATTCCATGACCAGCCCTTGTGAAGGTTACTAAACTTCTACATCTCTTTGCATTCAATTCACATTTATTTATTGATTCATTTAATTTAATTGAATATTTCAGTCGGGATACCTCATTAATCATTATTGAGTAATGATAAATGTCAAATGTGGCTTTTTAAAATTACCTATTTGTATGATAGTTTTTAAACTGATGATACTTACAATCTAACATTGCATATTATATAAGAATGAAATCTGAACATTCTTATTAGCAGCCAAGTGTGCAATCACTGTGTTGTCACTGTATTGATGTATGAAATGATAAGTAAATCAGTATCTAATTAATTCGGTTAAGGATAAATAACAAAAAGTCATTCCATTGCTGATGACTAAAGCCAGTTTAAGGGTTAGTTATTCGAGAGGTTCAATTCTGGGTCAGGTCAATGTAGAAAAGGAACTTTTTCTTGGGTTTAAGTGTTATGGTAGTTATATGCCAAATATATTCAATGTGCCAAATACTCCATTTAAATTTATTTTTATCTATATAGTATACTGATATTGACCAAGCGAGTTTCGTGATGACTCAGAATGAAATAGTGTTAAAATATACAACGCTCAGATTTCGAATTAAAGAGATAAAGTATTTGTATAATGGAGTGACTGAATTGGCATCCAAACCCGAGCCAATTATATTAAAATTCATTTTCGTCGTCCAGAAATCGAACCCGAGACCTCGGAGACGGCGAAACCTCGATACCAGCGTACAAGCCGCTTGACTCTGATGGTCGTCTGATATTAATTTGTATATATGTGCAGTATAACAACAGCAATAACGCGGGGGCGTCGTCAGAAGGCGCCTGTTCCTCCACGGCGGGCTCGGACGAGGAACCGCTCCTGTATGTAAACGCGAGACAATACAAACGCATCCTTAAACGTAGGGCGGCACGTGCCAAATTACACGAGCAAGGCAAGATACCAAAGGAGCGACCGGTGAGCACGATGTTTATTTAGTAATTTACCAATAGAAAAGCCCTAAAAAGTTATGCAATAAACATAAGCCAAGTCAATTAATTCTACTTTTCTGTGGGAGAAGCTGTTCAACCTTGTCATAGATTTGGGAATACTGAACTAACGCACATGCAGCATCACAATATAATACCTACTTTTAAACCAATATAGCATAGAGTGAAATCTGAACTTATTTGTATAATATATTATTATTTACCGTACCTATACATTTGCATACAAATTTTACATGTAAAAAATATAAAACATTTTATAATTATATTATTATGGTGAATATTTGTAGATTATAATAATAATAATAATACTTTATTATCTCTCCAAATTTTGGAGTGATAACAATAACGAGTGAGGACAATAACGAACATCATGGTGTGATTTGATTTTATTTCTTACTTTTTCATGCAAATATTGCTTAACTGATTTTGATGACAGAAGTAACTGTACATATCTTATAGGCTTATGTTTTGTATTTTTATAATTTAAAACACCCTCCCTTCCTGTGCATCGTGGACTGGTGCGATTGCTTATTTTACGACAAAACCTAATTAGCGGGTGACTAGTAACCAAATTTGCTAAGCAAAAATAGTTTCACTATTGTAGAAAAGTGTTATATTACAATATTCATAAGCTGGCTAGTCAAATATAAAGATTACAAAAGAATTTGTTGTAAAACAATATCCACAATTAAAAAATAAACGTACATAATCTTCTTCCCTTCCTTATCCATGTAGCTGTTACGTTCAAAGATCGAAATCGCTCTTGAGCGAAATAGTTTACAACACATTGTGGTCACAGTAATATATCATCATAGCTAAATTCGTGTTGTTGCTTTTATGGAAAAACTCAGCTTCAAAGACTTTCACTATGTTGACATATTTTTATATATTTAATGTTTTTAACCTATTATATAGAAAATATATATCACTAAAAAGTGATAAATAATACACTAATTTATCTCAAAAGCAACTTATTCAAGAAACTGCTATTGAAGTAGGGTGCTAACATTTAATTAATAACATACAGAAAATCTCAATCAGAAAAGCATTTTCTTGAATAAGTCGCTTTTGATATTAGTATTATTTATAACCTTTTTAAAAGTTTGAAGTCGGTTCTATTTTTTTTATTCTTGCTTTCTATGTGAAATAACTAAATATTTATATTTCAATGTTTCCTTTTGTCGGAGGGTTACTTTAATATGTATTAATAAAAATATACACTGTTTGTGATTATTAAAAAAATAACAATTTATTATTTGTTTAACAATAGTTTATTGATTAAAAAATTAATACTCTATAATAATATTATCGATTTTTTACTACAATATTATAAATACAACACTTGCCTTAGACATTTTCATTGAATTTTTGGTTGCAATTAGTTGAGCAGTGTCCCGATCACTGGGTTCAAATTCTATGGTAATTAAGTATATATCTATGAGTTGTCTTATTTTTGGTTTCAGAAATACTTGCATGAATCTAGACATAGGCATGCAATGAACAGAATACGGGGTGAAGGTGGCAGATTCCATTCTGGAAGCAGGAAGTAAGTAATGTTTCTGTAGACAACTGTAGTTTAATTAATATATTTTTAACCATATTCTCATAAGTTATTTATGATGACTTGTTAAGGCGACTTTTGTAAAACAGTTTATTTTATTCAATATTCTAGGAATATGGAGGAGTTAGCAAATAACTCGGAAGATATAATGCAATCTTTAGAAGAAATGAAACCCGACACAGTATCCATCACAATTATACAGGTATATATTATAATTTATTATACCATATTTGTCTTTTATTATCGTTACATATTAGTCCTGATAGAACTGTTGATTTATAAAGAAAAAAAAAATTGAACTTCTTTAAAAATGTGGATACAACCAACGATGCGGAATTCATACTTTGTTTCTGATGATAAGGCAAATAAAATGAGAAATTCTGTTGGTGATATAAAACTCCAAAAAATTGCATTGTACCTGACAGTTGTAATTATTATATCTTAGGAAGACTTACAGCTAAACAAAAATGATAATTGAATTAAGAAACAAAGGCCTGCAAAAAATAGTTGATGTATGAAATTGCCGATTTGAACTGAGAATCAAATTTTTTTAATTTTTAACATATTTATATAATTAAAATAATTACCATTATTATCTATACATTGCTGCCATCTAATGGGAAGGTCATTTATGCTTTTGCGATAGAACTCTGAGGATCTAGACAGCACAAACTGCGTGAAAGCATTTTGTACTGCCTCCTGGGAAGAAAAGAATCCACTTTTCATCACATATCACGATCAGATCCAATATTCCTTCATTTCTGTACCGATTCAACAAGGCAAGGTTTCTTTCTGCAGATCAGTCAAATCATGTGACACCCATTTTTCGTACTTTTTTATTTTATTGACGCAAATGAGTCAATAGTGTGGGTAAGGTAACGTTAAACCATGCCGCTAATTCCTGGGTAGTTTGACTAGAATGGCTTCCAACATCTCTCTTTCGTTATTCACCTGTGTGAGCGGTCTTCCTCGTGGCTCGTTCTTCAACTCGAAGTTTCCATCACGAAAGCGTGGATTGTTTCATTGTTTGTCCTGCTCTAATTGTGTCGCAGAGTAGAACAACATCGGTTTTTAGAGTAAAGTCCCAGTCCATAAACAATAATGGAATATATTGAAGTTCAGAATTAGCTTAGACTAGTTAGTTAACAACAGGTTTTTATTACAGGAGGATGAAAGTCAAGATCGTCCGGCAGCGAATCAGTGGAGGCGGCTTGCGCCACACCAACCATTACACTCCACGTAACCCACTTTACAAATCGAATCATCATTGTGAAACTGTTACTGTTATTAAGTAAAGTGAAGTTCCAAATTGTGCCCGTCTATTGTGAATCTTATGTGGAAAGTGCAGTGTTGTGTGCAGTTTCTCTAAAAATTAATATTGGTCCCATACTATGTATATATATTAGAAGACAAAAGAAACTTTCATTAGATGTTTAATTCGCCAATCTGTTTTCACAAACTACTCCAGTGATTGGATAAATTTGGACTTTCTATGAAACATTTTACAATCATATTTGGTTTGCGAATTATTTCTTTGAAATTAGAATTATTTAATCATGATTTCTGTCTATAATATTTATTTTTAATATTTATGATTTCTAATTCATTATTTACAGCCAAAAATATCAATAGATGTTTTGTATGTATAAAGCTATTTTGCCAAAACAAAAAGAGCCCATTCGATCTTTTTTTTTGTATTCTAATTAATTCATCTAATTAAATTGATGCTTATAATAAAAAATAAAGCATTACCATGTGTGAATGTCTAATTTCATGATTTGCAATATTTATAATTAAGATTATGTAATTAAATTTATTTAAGTTTTCTGTTACATTTTGCGAATTGTTTGTATTTACAAGGAATAACTTATGTGCTAAAAGCATTAGAACTCCATAATTTGCAATATAAGTAGGTGACATTTATGATTAAATAGGTATTTAATATATTTGTACAAGTAATGCCATTTTTATAAGTAGCATCTTAAAATTCATCTACACAGAAAAAGGTATGTAAGCTAAATCCTTAAAATAGACTCTATGGCGTTATATTTAAATCTACATCCATTGAGATATGTCACGATGCTGCGGGCATCGAATATGGCGTGCACACAAATGGCAAACGACTACGATAAATGCGCAACGCTAGGATTGGCTACAATTATTGGCGCCTTTTAGAAATGGAACTTCAGCATAGGTAAATAAATAATACTTTTTATTCTCTTTCTGTATTCATTGTTTGTTTCATCTCGTATTTTGTTTCTGTACTTGCATAACGCTTTTTAGGAGCGGAGTGAATTGATTTGACATCAGACATTATGGTACACAGATGATAAAAATATGTAGTTTATAACAATGATTTTACTGTAATACATAAAAAGGTAATGGTGTAATGTCCAGTGAAGACTAATATTATTTTGTTGAGAATGTTATAACCACTTGTTATATTACGTGGGTATATTATTTTTCAATGCAGTAATTTAAAAGATTGTCACTATAAATAAACTAATTTTATCTAGTTATTGTTATGATGAACTGTAATAGTTGATGACCTGTAAAATTGTTGTTGCTATTGTCAAATTACAGATCTTGTGTTAAAGGATTCAATATGAGTGATTATTTCTCCTCTTTAATAATGTGTTAATAAGAAGCTTACAAATTCTTTTAACAAAGTAACTGAATGTGGCATTCACTCAGAATAAAAATTTAGACATATGACATAGTTTATAATTCAAAACTTGATATAGACTATAGTTTTGGTTACATTGACTAAAAATTACCAAGAAATTTTTACTGAAGTGACTTTGACTATGTCGTACATTTTTTTATTTTTATTTGCTGTGTTAGTTTAAGTGATGTTAATTATTGAATAAAAAGCAAATTGTACCAATAGAGAAAGGCTTGAGGTCCAAAAGTTCGCGACATTGTTTTGAATAGAATAACAAGTCTATTCTTCCTTTTCAACGTTAAGCTGAAACCTCTTTGACCTTATTGACATCGAAAGATTTTATTTCTTTTCTTGATTTGGAAATCTAGGAGTCTGCTGCATGAATCGTTGACTAGGATGTTCGAGTTGATTTCGATATTTAATGCCCTTTTGGACCGTCCCTCATATCAAAGGAGAGACATTCTTTTTGCTACAAACTATAAATTAATTCTGACTATTTTTACTCAGTTTCTTGGATTGTTAACTTGTAAATTCTGTATATATTTTAAAATAATAGGAAAATTAGAGTTTTATAGTATTTGTATTGCAATCAACGTTTTCCAAGTACAAAATAAAGATTGCACTAAAAAAATTGGTTTTATTATTATTTCAGTCAAGTGCCAGTCAAATGAAAGTAAGGATTGAGAAATAAGCAAACTGGTAGGTATATAGTAAAACAATTTTATTCAAAAAGAGATCCATAAACATGATTTCCAAAAGAAATATTCAGGTAGATTAGTTATTTCACTTATAAACTACTTTATTAAGTACCTAGAAGTTGGCATCTAGTTAATTCAATATAAAATATAACATCGGACAAATTACTTTTTGAACATAAAAATTAACATTATAAATATCAACATTATTAACAGAAGTATAAAAAATTAAGAAGTATAAAGAAATGAAATTTATGATGGGATGTTATCAGTGGCGGACTAACCTCATCGGAGGCCGGGCCGGCAATAGGCCTGGTTCGATATTTTTTCCGACCAGGACAGAAAATTAATATTGCGTTTACATATCCCGCCCCATGCACACATTTTAACTTTATTATATAATTATGATTTTGGCGGATGGCTGACAGCCTTTTGGAAACCCCTAGGATCAGAGACCCGGGGCGGACCGGCCCCTCCGCCACTGGGTGTTATCCATCGAAAATATCATTGCCATGAAATATTCTATATAATATATTAAACAATTAAAAGTTTTGTTCTAAATAACAGACGGGTAATTGAACACTTTCTTGTTATTTAATTTGACTTGATAATTTTAAATTTACTAAGTGCACTTAAATGAGATCTCTCAAAAATCTGTATTTATCTTTAGAGAATCGTTGCGTGCACCTCATTACCACCAGTACACCACATTACCCAACTTTGTGTCAATCTTGTAAAGCATAATGCAAGCTTTGTACCGTAATATGGTGTAATTTTCGTCTTCTAATCATAAGTAGAACATGATCGGTACACATTCAACTGACATTCGTATATTAAGTTCAGATTTTTACGCAATCTAATTTTTATTTAAGATTGAAGAGTACATATTATAACTATAATTTCATGAATTGCTTTTAATTTGTCGATAAACTTATTATTATCAGGGAGGAAATTTTATTAATTAATAAATTATAATGTGTAATATTCAATCAATCCCCAATTCCTCAATCACATTGTATGAGGGCAGAAGAACCTGTTTTTACCACTGGCCCTTTTTGGTCATATGAGAATTAAAGGCGTTCTAATTAACCCAAATGTTACATTACCGTGTACGTTATTCCTAGTGTTGTATTACGGCAAAACTATAATGTTGGTAGCTTTGACGTGTTAATGTTTCTTCCCCGTTACATATAAAATGACAAAACTAGGTCATCTACCCTACATATTTTGCTCGGGAGCTTGCGTCTGGTTCTATGTGTCTGGTTTCCGTGAGTGATCTCTTACACGCTGTATCTCCGTGGTAATGGCGGAGATGAGAGGCAGTGCGGGGTCGCCGCTCGTCAGGTGCGCGTCTGTACGCACCAGAGCCGGGTTCACGGTCGGCACTGAACCCCGCACACTTGTTAACGACTGCATTATAATAAAATAGTATTAAAATACAACTCTTTTGCTTTTGTATATTATATTGTTCTATGAGACGTGATTCAATATAAATTTGCCAAAATATTATTGTGGGAATTTTCTCAAATGTAGATCATTTTTACTGTTTTAAAAACAAATTTTGATATAAGAACTTTTTGTTTAATGAATCTGCTTTCGAACATCTTGTGTAGGTATTATAAAATGTTCAACTATAATCTATAGGTATGTATAAATCTCTGTTCTGACTATACTAAGAGGAGCTCGATGGTTCAGATGATGAGGTAACTCATTCGATCAGCAGTAAGATGGGAATGTCCAAATAATTTATTATCTCTAGTTTCTACGTCCTTCGAAAGGGAAAGGTAGTATCAGCATCTACAGTCGCTAGCACTTATCACCAATCGACTTTGGGCATGCTTGGAGGATTGTGAGTGTGCTCCTTATGGTCAGGGATAGTGCATTATTGTGTACCCAAAGATATCTATGTATACTACAAGACAAACAGCTAGATGCACAAACGTCCATTAAAATTGTCATTAATTTAAAGTGTCTTTATCCATACAAATTTGACATTCATTAGAGCTCAAAGGCGTCATTAAACCTTAATGGACGTTTATGCAACTAACCGAAACTCTACAGAATCCTGAAGAGTTTGTCTATGAAATTACCCATACAATTTTGCCATTAATTAGAGCTTAAAGGCATCATTCAACTTAAATGGACGTTTGTGCAACTGACCGTTAGTCTGGTAATAAGTACTACTTCACAGGTCACAGTGCCGTAGTACTTACTGCTAGGCTTAATTTTATGTAAGAAATCAGTGGATGGAGGAAAAATCGATACTTTTAATCGAAAATTTAAAATTTTAAGTACTAATTTGATTTCATTAAAATAAATTCTCGATATTTTGTTTATATGTACTATCTATCTAATGTTAACGTATTGAAATATTGCACAGGATTGTCGAGCAATTTTTTGTAGTGAACAGTAGTGTGTGTACCTATTATTTTCAATAAGGGATATTTTGTAGTGTGAATTCTTTTAATATTAACTCTCATTATAGGCTGTTGATGATGGCTGTATACTCACGTGCGGGGGAGTGGGGCCCCACGCGCGGGGGGCGGCCGCGCGCCTGTCCGCGGGGCGGGTGGAGCACGTGCGGGGCCGCGCGCCCCGACACTCCGCCCCACCGCTGCGACTATATGGACCACGCGAGTATTACGTAAGCTGAGGGCTCATCCATAAATTACGTCACACGATTTTCATGACGTTTTTGCCCCTCCCCCCGTCCTAGTTGTAACCAGGACGGGGGGCTGGTCACATTTGTAATACTCCCCCCTCCTAGTGTGATGTCACGTATTTTACAAGGTTTTTGTAAAGTAATAGTTTAATGTTCGTGTTTTAACACTTAGATTATAATAGATTTTGAAATGTTACGTCGCGAAATTTAGGACCCTCCCATCCCCTTGTCACACAATGTCACACTTCCACTTCGTCGACCCCCTTCAAACAAAGCACGACCCCCGTAGCCGAGTGTTTCAATGTGTCGCCATCTCTGATGCCCCAATCGGGTAAATGTAGAAAATGGACTTTTCTATATCGCACATTGAGAATGACAATGTCATTAACCAAAAACGACGTCTTCTCTACTTTTGGCAACATTTTTCTTTGTCAAGTATAAACTTTAAAATGCAAAGATCCCTGTGAACGTAGCTTGCATAGAAACTGCTAGGTGGCGTAGTGACGATACGTTGTTTAGCGGCTGATTACAATTTCTTGAACTTTAAACGCTCATTACGCAAAATCGCATTTTTTGAATTATGTCACTATCGTTCTCAACGTACGATATTGTCTTTACTTTTCAATAATGGGTCTGGGTGGTGTGGCATGTTCGTTGTCTCAGATATTCCATAATACAGGTGCTTTAGATATTCATTTTGGAATCTGAGCAATGCCTGTGATATCCGTTTAATTTGATAATTGTGTTACATTTATTAAAACTATTGATAATTATTAATGATAGTAATTTTACGCCTTGTCACAGTTAAGTGTTATCCAGCACTCGAACATTGCTGCTGGCTAGTAAGAAAAAGTTTTAAAGCGTCTTCCGCTTTGAGTGTGTAATTTGTTGAATTAGTCGAATTAAATATCTACGTGACGAATTCGAACATCGGCAGTGGGTATAATAGCTTAAGTATTTAACTTGAAATTATGAAAATAGAATGCATATTTGGCCATATAAGAATTTGCGTCAGAAACAGTAAGATATTCAAAACTTAATTCTAGTAATATTTTCTCGAGCAAACTTCAACGAACTTCATAGAACAATAAGAAAGGTTACCTATCGCCCGCCGACTTCCCTCGCACTGTATCCATAGCTGTGTACGGTGAACCCGGGAGTTTAACGTTATCGTTACGAGCCTGCGTTACTTGTTCGCTTTCTGAGGACAATATATACATACTTACATTTCATCACGTCAAGTTACTCCAAAGAGTAATGATAGATTACTACTCTTTGGAGTAAAGGCTTTGTATTTGATGCATTGTGAAATAATAATAGGGAATATGCACATTATTGGAAAATGTTTTTATATGATAATTTACATAGATATATAACTGTAAAAAAAATACCCGGTACCGAAAAAAATAATTTTTTGACATTAATCATTGATTAACAACTCATCGATTTTTTAAAGTATAATAGACTTTTTTAATAAATTATACAATATAATTTACCAAATTGGTGAAATAAAAATAATATAAGAACAGTACAACTTCTCTAGCATTGTTATGGATTTAGAGATAACTCATTGGATTTTATTGTATCATACTTGAATGACAGAGTACAGATGTTTGATATCAATGGCAAAAGATCCCCTGGATCGAAAGTTAAGATAGGTGTTCCGCAGGGCTCAATACTTGGTCCTTTCTTGTTTTTGATTTACATAAATGACATCCCTTATTTCGTAAGGCATGATCAGGAAATAGTTTTGTTTGAGGATGACTCTTCACTTTTGTTTAAAATTAAAAGATGGTTACCTCTAAATGACGATGTGAACAATTCTATCACTAAAGTAGTACATTGGTTTAATGTAAATAATCTTTTCCTTAATGAAGGAAAAACAAAATGCTTAAAATTTGTACTACCTAATGTTAATATAAAAGATAAGAACATGGGCCTTGTGGATACCAGAGTATTTTTAGGAATGACATTAAATGACACTAAACTAATGATAAATTGTCGAGTAGACTTAGCTCTGCAGCATATGCCGTAATGAAAATACGTAGGTTAACTAACATAGATACTGCCAGATTAGTATACTTCAGTTACTTTCATAGTATAATGTCGTACGGAATCCTATTGTGGGGAAATGCTGCCGACATACAAACAATTTTTGTGCTTCAGAAAAGAGCAATTCGATCAATTTATAATCTTAGGATTAGGGACTCTTTAAGGGAGAAATTTAAGGAAATAGACATTATGACTGTTGCTTCTCAATACATATACGAAAAGTAATGTACGTTCGTAAAAATATTAGTTTGTTTTCTATAAAAAGTGATGTACACAATTTTAATACAAAAAATAAAAATAAATTAACGGTGCCTGTCACTAGACTACAAAAAGTTAATAACTCATTCAAGGGTCTTTGTGTGCGCTTCTACAATAAGGTCCTAAGCAATTGTTGTAATTGGATATCGTGCAGTTTAAAACTACTATTAAAAAAATACTTATTAAAAAAGCTTATTATAAGGTTTCCGATTATATAACAGAAAAGAACGCTTGGACTTGAGATTATCCAGTAACTGGATAGGTGATTACTTCTAAAGTTCTTTTAAGAAGTTTATTTGAATAAAGATTATTTTGACTTTGACTTTCTAATAACTATTCTTAATAACTTAAGTTTTTTTTGTTTCACACATCAAAAAGTCCTAGTTTTAACAAACTGCTTTCAACTGATCATTAAAATAAACTAAAAAAACGAAAACCTGTTAAAGTGACATTTAAGTACAGTTTGAGACGTACTTTCTTTGACGACGTGAATTTGATGTATACAGTTCAGTAGTTCCTGGCCTTGGTTTAACTGTCCCTTCATCACCTGAGAATCGTGCTACTTTTCATTTTCACCGAATATGACAACTCTACATATGTTACTATCGCCGTAAACCTACGATAATTGTATGGAGTCGCATGTTAAACCTGGTTTAATCTTGTCTCCGCTGGTTTCCCGTTCAGAACCTCCTGTAGTATCTTTAGATCCAGATGCAGCGCTTCCAAATAAAGTAAAAGCGTCGTCCATTAGCTCGTTGAACCGTTGTCGCATCCGAGATGGTCCAGTTTTTTGAGTCGAAGACGGTGACTTTGTAGGACTCGGCGGCTTTGAAGCTGCAATAAATTATCCAACCTAATAAAGGAATTGAGTCTTGGATTTGACTAAACATCTCTTAAAGTCCATTCTGTTATGCGCAACGAAATACTTATTATGATATTATTTCTTAGGAAAACAATGGCTTATGTCCACACGCCGTAAAATTGATAAAAATATCTTTCTGATGAATAGGACTTTGGCTGAAACATTGGTTGTAAACATTAAACCGAACGGACAATTCAAATGAATAGTGAGATTTATTTCTATAACCATGAGGTGGCATTTACCGCCATTCGGAATTTAGCCTTCTGTGCAGGTACATCAGTAAGCCACATCATTTGTAGCACTGTATCAACTCGTTAGTTATACCGAATAGACTGAAATATGTTATACTGACCGTCTTTGATCCTCTGGCAATGCAAATCCCATACCAAAGGTCCTATAACTCCCGGATCTTTGTCGATACTGCCCAGTCTTACCAGCTGAGAGGGCATCTGTCTTCGAGGTATTACATTTTTATCTTTCTCTTTGGGACGCTTAGGACTCGAGACGGGGGTGTCGATGTCCAAATGTCGAACTGATACCGGTTCCAGAATACGTGATAGTGGTTCTACTATGTTGCCTCTACAAGAATGTGCATTTTCATTAGTTTGGATGTGGCTGGCCTCTCGGTAGAAACGTTACCAGGAGAGTGGTTTAGTGTCCAGAGATACATAAATTATGATCAGTGAAAATTCTGGGCAGTCAAGCTCTTTTTAACTGTTTATTATATGGTGAAACACAGTATACATCTGAACAAAAAAAAATGTGATCTTAAATGAATGAGTAAGACTATTATTGTTATTATTTCAAAATTCCCGCACAATTCTCTTCTATATAATTTCAGTAAGAAAAAATATAGTTTTATTAAGGTCACCTCGGGAAAGAGTTGATGGAAGGCATTGACAGATATGACGTGGGTGTATGTGGTCCTGACCGCTGGCTATCAGAGCTGTCCACACCGGCAGCCTCCAGAAGACTGTCAGTGGTACCCACTAAACAGAAACCATATAGCATAACATGAAAATCAACATAAGTTCGTGTTTCCGCCTTGAAGATTTGATATGTCATTTTTGCAATATGTATAATGCAGATTAGTTACATTTGCAGTTACTATTACCGACCAAACAATACTGGGCCAAACAATTCATGGCCCTTTATTCGATTAGATTCCATCCTTAGGAAAGGATTGTTTCCCATCATTGGGACATTAATAGGTTGTTGGTGATTGGTAGTTTTTAACTTTTCTGCAGACCGGTTTTAGTCCTAGCAGTATTCCAAATAGTCCGTGGAACGGAGGTTTTATTTACACATGAAATAACCACTTTCATGGCAACATAGAAATTTGTCAAATGGTCTTTGATTACTGAAATGTTAGAACTGAAGTATATATATGATAATCACCTCTTTTTTTCTGAGGCATTCTGAGAGCGTGTGGTTTTTTCTGACGACGCCTTAGCGCAGCTGCCACTTCGGACACTCCAGAGGAACTTGTAGAGGTACTGAAAACAAGATTCGGAATTTAATAGTCTTTCGCAATCGCCCTTGTTGATCCTCTCGATGATCTTGACGTTTATTACCTGGAAGCGCTGGCGGCTCTGTATATTGGTAGTAGTGTACTGCTGGGCCGGGTGCGACTTGGTGAAACAACGCTGATTAACTGAGAATAGAGGTACATAGTTAGAACAACCCTGAATACATGTCCACACATGTCTACTCTATATGTCCATCTTGTACTGCTGACACCAGATACTAGCCTGTTATGAAATTGGTATCAACTATATGCACATAGGCATTGTTAACCAAACAGATTTCTTAGTCATCAGTACCTAGGTATTTGTTTTGTGCTATTTGGATAGTACGATTATTCTTTATTTTGATATAGTATATTTTAGATTTAAATTTATTTATTAAGGACACATTATAAACGTCTCATGATTGATCTAATTTTCATAGTTTGTGATTAAACTCATTACCATGAAAATTATTATATATGCCTCATGTTTACGTTACTCACTCTGCCGTCCTTTTCTTCGTGCACTTGTTTCAGTTGATTCCTTTCAGCTTCTCTCATCAGTTCATTTCTATATGCTCGCAATGATGCCGCAGACTTTACGGCTTTTCTTCTATGAATAAATTTTTTGTTGTTTTCTTTAACATTTTTATGAGTAAAAATATCATTAAAACTGTCTTCGATTCCTATACAAATTTTCAAATTTGGAGCATTTGTTAGAGCTTAAAGAATGAATGAATGAAAATGAAGACATGAAATCTTTAATAGACCAAATGTCTATTAGATTTTTGTATTATGTTTATTTATTAATATGTTTGTATTATGTATGTGTGTACTTACCTATGCGCCAAACACAAAAGTGCAAACAATATAAGCAGAAGAAGCAGAGCCACGGTAGCACCCACGGCTAACGCCCAAAGTTCCGTGCCGTGGACACCAGTTTTAGTTTCTGCTTGCCCTTCTAGATCCTCGGCCGCCTTCAGGTAAGCTGCTGGCAAAACCATACAGTGTACCTCAATATTGGTTACATTCCACTCAAAACCTTTGTTCTAAAAAGACGCTAATCTATATACACTACATCTACATCAGTTTAAAAAATCAGTTACATAATATCATTGGTGGAAACTGTTCATGAGCTTTGTTTTTGCATTCTACTCGAAATTTTTGGACAGAGTACAATATGTTACTGATTTGATGTATCAAATCCTATATTCGCTCACAGACTTAGATGGACAGCATTCCGGAGCAGATGGCTCGGAGGCACTCACGCTCCGCCTTAGTGGTAACGACGGCTCCTAGCTCTCGTGCCACCTCCGCGTCCCGTACTAGCCTCATGTCCCTTGCTGCGACAGCTGCTGGGACTGCTCGTCCACCCACCAACACCACGTACACTATTTGCACGCTGCCCGTTTCAGGTGACTGTTCACAAATCATTCGGGAATTTTGACAACTTTCATAAACCAACAATGTAAATAGAGAACTAATCAAGATCATAATTTTCTTTCTTCAAATAGCCAACATTGATACGAGTCATCTGTATGTACTCGTAGGTACATATGACTTTAACATTTTTTGGTTTCGGAAATCGGCCTGTTCATTGTTATTTAAGATTTGCAAAGATTCTATTTAAATATTACATTAACTTCGCATTATGCAGAGTTTTGTTTGAGGAGATTCTCGCACAAATGAAATTAAAACAAAATCGTGAAATGCCCATCAATAAATTTGAATTCCCACAAATGTATCTTCAATGAACTTACCTCAGTTATATTCTGAATATGAACTTGTACTGGAGGTTGTTGTTCGGGTTTAATTATTTCCCTCTTAAACAACAATGTCTCATTGCCAGAATCCGATTCTAGTGGTATATCTATGAGGTCTTCTTTGATGTCTTCGTTTTCTCGATCTCTTATTTCCCTTTTCCTTACGACTATTGTTGGTGCCGCTAATATCCATGATTCAACATCACTAATTCTCGTTGCTTTTATTTCTGCCCTCATTGATGACGGGTCCACATTGTCGATTTGAATTAAATCTTCATTTGGATATACCTTCAGCATTACATCATTTGGTAAATGGAGAGAAACAGTATTTTTAATGTTAGTTACTGTGTCAGTAAATGATTCAATACGTGTCATAGAACTTATTATATTAACATTATTGAAAGGTGTATCGGAACTATAAGAGCCTATTTGATTAATGCTATTCCCTTTGTTAACAACAAACGAGTGGACGTCGTGTTTCCTTCTCGATGTTGGTGCATCTAATGATTTGATGATACCCAAGTGTCGTTCTTGTTGTCTGAAAAGAAATATAGGTCTAAATATCTTGTTCCAGAGATGGCAATACTAGAATGCTTTTATTGTTATTGGGTATGCAAATTCTATGAATAAATTCTACAATATAAGGTTGTTAGTCGATGTTACCTTAAGAATGCCTTCTGATATAACCTCGCTAATTTCAGCTGCAGACTGTCGGGAGTAGAGCCCTGTATAACGGTCAGGAGCCAGTATCGGCGATCTTCGGGAATCTCTGGTTCCAAACTGTCTGGGCCAATTGGCTCACCACAATTGAGAATACATTCTCCTGTAGTCTTGTCTGTCACAGCCTAAGCAAATAGAAATGAGGTAAAATTTAAAAAATTACAAGTAAGAACCAGATATGCTGAACAGACAATTTTATCGAACCCATAAGCAATATCAGTTACTGCGACTTTTGCAAAACATCATTATTATTTCTAAATTTCTAAAATAAAATTGTGGAATATAAAACACAAAAACCTGCGGTGGATAAGAGTCTAGATAGACCGTAGCCAGCACTGTGGTGGTGTGGACTAGAGGCGTCGATGGTTGTGCTGGGGTGGCTAATGCTGGTTCTGGAGGCGGAGGTGGACCATCTCCCGACCCTGTCCAGAAGAAATCTTCCAGGCGTGGCGTTTGTTCATGTTGATCTCGGGATACGAGCATGTAAACTATCAAATCAGATAACCTTATAGTAAGATCAGATCAAGGAGCTCGATAGTCCATCCTCTATAGAGTTGAGGAGACTTTTGTAAAGATCAAATATTTATGATCGTGCTTCGGAAAAAGGAAGAACCTCAGCCAGTAATATAATGTAGTATGCAGCAGTGGCGTGCACACCATACAAGCAAATAAGTACTGATTACCTGATTACAGACTCATGATCATGATTTGGTTAAACTAGTAAAAGTGCCATCTACTAAAAAAAGACAGAACTACTATAACGTACATCAAATGATCATCATCCTGACCAGGCCAGGTCAAACTCATTAGAAAGTACTGAAAATTGGTAAGTTCTTTTCAATATATACAATTTATTATATCGAACACGTCTATGAATCAGAAGGCATGTGAAACCCATTTCCCGGTTTTTTCAACAGTTGTTAATACCGACCCGCACTGGCTCCGCGTTTCGTCGTTTCTATCCGTGGATAGATAGAATATATCTATGGCGTGGCCTGTTCTCAGAACTGGGGAAATTAACGTGCAGCAGATCGATTCTGAAAAAATCCGAACCTGAATTCGAATTCATTCAAGATTGAGCCAATGCCGCTTTTTGAAGTGCATTCGGACACCTGAGTGAATTCGAATTCGGGTTTGAATTTTTACAAAATCGCAGGGCTGATGGTGAAATAAAAAATGCGGATACGCAATTCTTTTTGTTGTTTGTTATTTTTATAAGACACTAGCTGACCCGGTGAACTTCGTATCACTTACCTCTTAATAAAAACCATATTAATATTGAAAAATATTGCGTAAACTGACCACTGCACGACCATAAATATTGATCGTCAACTGAACGTTTGACAGCTAAGAACAGTTTATATGGGAAAATAAAATTGTCGTTATTAGTATTATACACGCAATTATGTTATATTTTCTCATCGTTTAAACCTTCCCTGGACTTCCACGAATATTTCAAGACTAAAATTTGTCAAATCGGTGCAGCAGTTCTCGAGTTTTAGCGAGACTAACGAACGGAAATTCATTTTTATTTATATAATAATAAGATAAAAAAAAAATATACTCAATTTCTCTTTCGCTACAATATAGTAAGTATAGTTAGGTAAAAAGGAGATATTGTGACTGCTTTAATCCACTGATTCCTAGTCGGTGACAGCTCGATAAACATTTCCTGTTTCAGTATCGCGTGATCTTCAGAATAAAATGGTTTATTGGCCTTTGCTGTAACTTCCAGTAACAACAGTTTCATGGTATGGTCTAAGTTATTAACTTACGTTATATATTTATCCGGGTAGAGAGCGTTTGCAAAGATACCATTCATATCTATACTATTATTAAATGGAGTAAAAAAAGTTGCTTGTTTGGTTGCATCTAATAAGCTGGAGCAACTGGTCAACAAAGTCGCGGAATACAGCCAGTATAGTATATAGACAGTAAATGTTGTGTTTGTAAGCCATTAATTTCCAGTACCTATTCTATATAGATACAATATACTATTTTTTAGATGCGAACCGAATTTATCTATTGAACCAAGTAAATTTTATAGTCTGTTCAAAAGGGGAATCGTCGTGACCAGCCAAGGAACTAACGTTAATATTTTTACATGGCAACTCATCCATACGTCAAAATCGTTATTTGTTAACGTTTTCTTTGTGTTGATTGGATATTCTCGCTTGCAAGTATAACAATTTTTTTTAATCTTTATTAAAATCGAAACGCAAAAAGTGTATACAATAACAATTTTTTTAAGGTCTGTGACAGCCGTCTATAGTAATAAGAAAAACAGCACTAACAAAAAATCTATTTCTTATTATGATATTTTTCTCATAAATCATATATTTTTCTCACAAAAAAAAATTTGGTGTATACAATTTTTGATTCGATTTTATTGAAGAAAAAATTATGGTATTATTTCTCGCTTTTCAGTCGTTTCTCTTTATTACGATTTTTTTGAAGTCGGTTGTTATCACCGATCCATATTACTTAGTTCTAACTTATGATAAATGAACACCTTCGTCATACATGTTTATATGTATCAACATACTTATTACTTCAAATCCCACGATGGTTCTCTTTTTGCATGACCAAAGCAATAGATGAAAATACATCAAAATAATGGAAATTGTTTCCACTCGACAATCTTGAAATTTTAAAGATCAACGCTAAATTAATTAACCGACGAAAATGCTTTGATATACTAATTTCATCGAATACTCTGCATTTCAATAGTGTCATTCGACGAGCAACGTGAATTGGCTTATCCGTTAATAAAAAGTGATAAATCGCCACCGCTCATAAATTACGCTGCGGTGTTCCTCAGGGATGTATCCTCGCGCCACTCCGTACCAATCACGGGGTTTTGTACTATAAGGAACGCATTTCCTGTGTCTAACATAGCTAGAGGAGTTCCGATTCTCCATATACATTGCTGCCGATATTGTTATTCTGATTATCAGAAGGCATCATAATAAATAACGTTTGATAGTTCGAATAATGATATCAGCAAATTTTGTTTGTATTCAAATTGAATTATAAACAGTGACGTTGCTTAATAAATTCTAATTTAGATATGTAAATAGAAAAACTAATTGACTGCATGAGATATCAACGTAGTCTGGGAGAAAATTCAACCCCTAAGAGATGAAATAGGGGATGATTGTGTCGATGTTTAGTTTTCATGGCAGGATTATCAAATTTATTTTTTGGTTTTTGGTTTTAAAAATTTATTAAGCCGCTGGCGGAAATCATAGGTACCTATCTGTCAGTATCTGTTAATTACAAACATACGATAACACTGAAAATTACTAATAAATGACGGAATGATAGCACAAAATAAAATGCGTTTTTACAACAAAATTCTCACGTTCCTAGGCCCGCTACTATTAAAATAGATTAAACGCTGTAGCGCACATTCGCTCACAAAATTTTAGAGATTGTAAGTTAAAGATTAAAGAAAAGCAAATGATGTCGTATGAGGACACAGAAAAGTTTTTAGTTGTGTGAAAGTAAGATAAGCTCTACTCTACTTGTTTCGGGTTCGGAATAGACCTTGGGATCTTAAAAGACGTCAATATGATTAGATATATTATACTTGCGGAGAAAATATACGTAAGTATTTAACAACATCAACCTAATAACAGACTGAAATGAAGTGTAGGTTTTATTACAGCTTTCAAGAGAATTTATAAGAACGCCAGCACATTCAAAGTCAAATTTATTGAGAAATACTCAGAATATGACTCATAGTTGACAATCGCAAATATTTTAATGAGCTTTACTGAACTGATTTTTATGTTATAGAAATGTTTTTCAGTTACTCTAGTTAGGTTTGCAAAGACGCAATATTAAATAAATATTACTCCTTTTATAAGTCCGTTAAATTTTAATATTTTATTCAAAACTACTGAACCGATTTTGATGAAACTCGTAGCGTACCATAAGTTGAAATCTAAGCAATTAAGTAAAAACATACAAACATACACCTACAAGATTTAGCACACATGACCAACAAATAAAAACCAACATATAGGTATGAATATATACATATACTTCGAACTGATAACCTCCTTTTTTTGAAGTCGGTTAACAAGTATGAGTGGGACTCGCCCAGTGAGGGTTCCGTACAAATTTGTATGTTTCAAATAGTGCTGTAATCGAATACCTGAAATATATTTTGATGTGAGTATGCACATCAAGCTCTTTCATATTTGATTCATTAGCATTTGGCATTAGGATCCTTAATTTTAAATTACAATAACCTATTATAATACTTTTTTAAAATAGTTAATCAAAATTATACTAATTATTATTATTATTATGTATACACGGCTGCACGTCACGTTAGCACGATACGTTTTTCTAAAATTGATTTTGAACTCCACCAACAAAATGTTAAGGTCTAAAATCAAAGTGAGAAATTTGACAACTTTGTATAATTAATTTAGAAGTTTAATTTTATGCCAGCTGCAAGAAACTGAACATCTCAATATACAGGTTTTATTACCTATCTAATCTTAAAAAAATAATATTTATCTATTAAAGTACCAAAACTAGATTGTTTGATACAAGCTTTCTTCCTAATCTATCAATAACTTAAAACTAATGTTTAAGCATAATGCTTCCTTTGTTCTAATGTACCAAAGTTATACACATTAATATTGAGGCATAAAGCTTTGAAGGTTTGAAATTCCAAAAAATAGCCTTATTATATATAATACGTAGAAATTACTAACGCTAAATATCATCGCGGACTCCCAATACATGAGCTACCCCACCATGCAGGCTCGGGCCACAGCCCACTACGCGGGCAGTATGAATTGAATTACTGTAATTGTCTTCTTGAATTGAATTACATGCCTTCTGAAGCACGGACGAGCTCGAGAAAATATTTTTTTATCGCACATCCTATGGCCCTTGCGAGTGCTAAACTTCCGCGGTAGATTGAAGTCGAACGCGCTGACCACTACGCCATAGAACTCCTATGCAAAATTGAATAAAATAAACCACCTTATATAGGTTTCTGTTATTTTAGTTCACGCATCCTCTCCGTAACCGTGTTTTTTATGACATGAAATGTACAAAAAACCATATAATAGGGCTCTAATGGCGGTGGTTTCACGGGGACACTGCGCCCGCGCATCCATTGTATGACACCGGATGTGGACATATAGATCTGTCAACCAGATTACAAACGTACCTATTACATTTGAATAAGGTTGAAAATTACAATTGTATGTTTGAATGTGTGGACCGCGATTTGAGCAACGAACCGTAGTGATGACCCTTACCTTATAACGATAAATAGTAATTATTTGAATTTTTAGGACATTGTTTTGTTTTTATTTGAACAATAGATAAGTTTAACCAACGAATACTAATTTTAAAATTGTTAGTTCTAAGTTCTATGCTCAATGAATAAAAATTGAAGTATTTCCATTATTCAAATCACAAGTTAGTATTTTAATTATTCTCGCGTTCAACTG